TACTTAAACTCGAGTATAGGGTTCCTACCTTTTTTTCCCTTTAAACAATTGCAACACAAACATATTTAGCCTTTAACAACAACACTGCTTTTTAACATTAAAAAAAAGGCAAAAACTGTAGTCTGAGTCAGCTAAGCCTATTATAGTAGTCTTAAACAGGATTCAGTAACCCTTGGTCTTGCGATCTCTGTGACCTTTAACAAAGGTCACCAGGCCCCAGTTGGGCTAAAAGGTGGATAGCGCTATCCAGCGGATAAATCTCTATTCAGTGAATAGTGCAATTGGTTTCCCTAATACTTATCCACTGGATAGTGATTTATCCCTTTTGAACAACTGGGGCCTGATGTTTATGTTACTAAATGGTTAATTTATGTCTGTGCGGACCTTGCAGCCTCAGACAAACCTGCAGCTGAGCTACGCTGCACTGCCACGCTCACCCTACTTTTCTTTGTTCCCATGATGTTAGTTGCTACACAGTCGTATAAACCGGTGTCGGCAGGAATCAAGTTGTTAATGGTAAGTGTGCCTTGGTTTATTTTCGTTTTTCCAGCAGGTAAAGGCATTCCTACTCTAGTCCAGGTCACGACGGGACGAGGATAGCCTTCAGCTTGACAGGTTACTTGGAATGTAGCGCCTTGTACCGGTGCAGCAAGTAAAGGTGGAACTTTTGTGAATATTGGAAGACCTGAAAAAATAATTATCAGGTTTACATACTAAAACTACTTGGACGACATCGGGAAGGAGGAGAGGGGAGGTGGGTACTCAACACAGTTTTAAACTTGGAGGCGCTCCCCCCAAGGTCCAACACCATATGTAATTTTCAGCAGAAAAGGTGAGCCATAAAATCCTTCCGCTAGCCCTTTTAGATCTTCTTACAGACCGAAATGACAGATTTCCCTACACTATTATGTACTTCAACTAGTAAAACACCGCCAGACCCTTTCATACCTGAAGCCTCAAAATGGTACCCCCTTCCGAAGGAACCTGCCTGTACAGGACATTAGAAGAAGTACCCTCCAGGGAACCGCAGGATTACAACTGAGCAAAATGACAAATTAGGTGTTTTCTTTTCCGGGAAACATTGTACAAGAAATGTTTCTTTTGCATAACAGAAAAAAGAGGAGCAGTGAAACCAGTTAGTTATTAGCTGGCAAATCTGTTAAATGTTTTTTTTTTTCAAGAAGTCGTAGTCTGACGGCTACTAAAGCCTTAACCGGATTCTGAAAGCGTGTCAAAATAAAGGTCAGGCGAGGATGATGCTCTGTCAGCAGTGTGCCTTCACATCGCATAGTTTTCTTGAGATGTTTATGCGCCGTTCTATTCTCGCAGCCTTATTACCTTGCAAGAACATGTAACATATCATGCTGATATAACAAACAAAATTTGACGGCCTGTTATACAACAAACCTCAAGAATAAAATGCTTGTCTCACCTCGAACAGACAAGTTACCAGTGGCCTCGGACGATCCAAGAATGTTTCTAGCAGCACATGTGTACGGCCCAGCATCGCTGTAATTCAGATTTCTGACAATCAACTCTCCTTCTTTAATCAAATACTTTGCACCCGACAGAAGCTTTATGCCCTTAAATTGCCATTCCACGATTGGGGAAGGATTTCCGGCTACCGTGCAATAAAATGCAGTATTTCCTCCCTCATCTCGTGTCTGTTGTGCTGGCGTGAGCATCACTTGTGGAGCAGATATGGATTTTCCAGGCCTTCCAGGTGGTCCCGGCATGCCTTTTGGCCCAGGGTCCTGTTTTTCCGGATTTTCCAGGAGGTCCCATGGGACCTTGAGGACCTTTCTTTCCTTTTGGTCCCCTCCTGCCACATGGTCCCCTCGCTCCAGTGGGACCAGGATATCCGGGGGGACCTGCAGGACATACCTTCTCACTTGACTTACAGTACTTGGTGGGCATAAGTTTTTCAAACTGTTTGCTGATTTCTTTTCTCACTTCATGTATGGTGATGCCAGTTAAAGTGTCGTTGAAAACGTTTCCTCGCTTTCTTACCTGGATGGTTGCTGATGCCTTTATTGGCAACGGGCTGACTGCAGTAAAGTAAAATTAGATAATACCTGTTAATTACCCATTGATAAATTGTAAAAATGAGCAAGATCGAGAAGGAAGGAAAGAATGATACGGCTGACATTTCTGATGAGGTAACTGACAAAAGAACAAGAATCGAATCTTAAGACCTGCGCACGAATTTCAAGCCAACTGAGATCTTGAATACACCTACTTTCCATCGCTCTTGTAATCCCATAAGAGTTAGGAAAGGTTTTTCAAATTAGATTGAACTCGTTTAAAAGAAACGGAAATATCTCCATGAATAATCTCTTAACACACGCCTTTTGTCTATACTGATCTATAATGTCTATACTATTCCAAAATTTATCCAGAAAGTGCTAAACGAAAATAGCTCAATCTAAAGCAAACAGATAAATCTAAAAATAAATTGCCAAAAATTGGGTCATTATTGCTTGAAATTGGTCACGCAATACCTTTCAATACCGAGACCCTAAATAACCTCAAGCAAGAAGCACATGCAGCCCTCACTTAAAGAAATGTTTAAGGAACCTCATCTAATGTCGTCTAGCTAAAAATCCTAAAAAGACAATCTTGTTTAAAAGCTGTATAGTAATAATATCGACTATCTGGCGCGTGGAGGAATCTTGTTCTGCCCTTGTAAACACATTATTTATAACTTCATTTACGCTGTAGATCTCTTCAGTCTTTTATCAGTGGCAGTGGCTTAATTACTGACAGATCTAGGGAGCATTACAAAACAGTTTCATACAGTCTAAGTCAGACTAAGTTAAAATCTGATACTATTTTGGAATTGCAAAAGATCCCGTGTTGTTAACGCGAACTCACGTCATGAAAGGTTGTGTCTTAACCGAGGGAGGATAAAAGCAGGTCTAAACATCCTCAAAGTACACAAGGCCATCCAAGTAAGAAGAGTAAGAATAAATTTTACCTGAGCTATAGCCGTTCCCATCATCTGAAACTTGTGTCTGCATCTTCTTGGAAAGGTCTATTGCGATATCTTTTGTCGGTGAGAAAGTCATCCTGTCAAGATTATCAATGGTGCCACGCTTGGTGCAAGAAACACAGTAAATACGAGATTCCAGTGAAATCAGTCGTTCGCTTGTTGCTTCATTTTTCACCCAGAGACATCCGCAAACTAAAACTAATACCACCGAAAGGAACGATGGTCTAATTGACGGAACAAACTCAAGGACTCGTTGAGATTTCGAAGAGTTTACGGTTTTCATTTTTGTAGTTTTACGATCGTTTTCTTTCACAGCCACTCGAAGACGGAAGTTTGAGGGAAAGTTTCAAGTTAAACCTGATCCGCTTCTGATTTAGCCCAGAAAAACAAGAGTGTTAGCTTACATTAGATACGTGACGTAAGCCGGGCTATTTTGCCAATGGTATATTTTCTCTTGTTGCACTCAAACGTGGTCAAAGTTCCAACGGTTTCCGTATTCTAAAATACAGTAAAATTCCGAAAATAAGCTCCGGGGCTTATGCTTTTCAAAGGCCCTTTTTGAGGGGCTTATTTTTGGAGGGGCTTATATTCGGAGGGGCTTACGTACGGAGGAAATTTGCGTTTCAAAACTGATTGGTCTAGCCTTATAGTTGGAAGTAAATTTACCGTTTCTCTTTGTTTTACTTTGTATTTGAGGGCAATTTCCAAGTACAAGCCCCCGGGGAGGCTTATATTTGGAGGGGCGATTTAACAGAGGGTTTTTTGCGTTACGAGTTTGGGGGGCTTATATTTGGAGGGGCTTATTTTCGGAATTTTACGGTATCAGAAATCAAACATCACGTAAGAGGTTGACCAGGTGACCGTTGGCTTTATTCTTCATTCTTGATAACGTGGAGAGAATAAAGTTTGAGCATGAGTGATTTATTTAATTCAATTCTTGTTTTCTGTCACAGCTACTCCAAGTTTGAGGGAAAGTTGCAAGTTAAACCTGATCCCTTCTCACTAACCCCACAAAAACAAGTGTAGTAAATTAGCTTACATTAGATTGACGTGAGCCGGGCTGCTCTACCGGTTGTTAACCTTCCTCCTGTAACACTCAAACGTGGTCAAAGTTCCAGCAGATACCATATTTTAAATTATTGCTGAAATCAACATCACTTTTACAGGAAAGGAAACAAGTTTGACCACGTGACCATTAACCCTCGTTATTGACAACGTTGAGAGAATGAAGCTCTCTTTTTATGACAAACATGAGTAATTTTATTGAAATTTAATTCTTGTCTGGACATTAACAATTAATACTAGCTCGTAAACGTGGTCTTTTATTTATTTATTATCAGTAGAAACTTCCTATAGGGGTATATTTTATTTGATAATATTTTATATAATAGGTCTGTCATAAAGGATACTGATGTACCTCAGATTTTATACGTAGGACTTACATGAGGTAGTAACCCAACGCTGGTAATTTTAATTACTACACTGCTAGAAGGTGATCGGGATTGTCACGTGACTGCAAGCAGTCTTTTCCTGTATATGAGATAGTGTTGCCGCATTAAGCAATTAGTAATAATCTTAATTTTTGATTACTAATATTAGTGGTATCGCATTGGGCAACAAAGCAGTGAAGACAGCCTGGTTCAGTAAAATATCACTGTAATGTTTTTTTTTTTTTCAACTTTGTTTACTCGGAAGCAGAGATTTCTTTGCCCTCATGATAAGGACGTAACTGTTTTCTGACAGATGACAGCATAGCTGCCCCCAGACTCGTATCCAGGTAAAAAAAGATCAGCGCAGTTGGACCAGTTGTAGATATCAAAATCATTTCTTTTTTTGACTATTCTATTTTTCGTTTGTTTGGAAAATGTTGTAGTATACGTTCTAATGATTGTGTTTTGATTTAGATATAAGGGGCTGGCTTAGTGCTGTAGATTCGTTCACCTCTAAGCGTCTACTTGTACAATAAGCTCAGCTCAAATATCAAAGCCGGTGTCACGCATTATATTAATTAGGTTGTTTCGTAAAAGGTTTCAACTTCGTCTGGTGTGAACTCGTAAGTTCCTGCCAGGAATGTTTTGGCGAAGGTGCTGTGGTAGCTGTACCCGCTCGGTGGGCTGTAAGTCCAGCCAAGGTTGCTGTAAGAATTGCTATTAGATGACGCGTAGTTTTTGATGTTAATGTCATATCCTCCTCCGAATGTAGGCCCGTAGGATGAGCTAAAGCATATGGAACGTTTGTAAGAACTATATTGCCCTGACTGAGACAATTTGACAGGCGCCCATCCTGGCTTGTTTACCAGCGAAAATAAGAAGGCTTTTGAGTCGTATTGATACCGGCCAGAACCAGAAGCTAAAAGAAATGAAACAAAACTTTTCTAAGATAAGTTAGCGACATTGTCTTTGTGCCTGTCATAATGATGACGATGATGTTTATTATGATCAATTAAAAACAGTAAATACCTCATTCTCATAAAACAAATTCGATCGAGTTTCTCAGTAACGTTCGTCATTTATCAAAAACGAAATCAGTTTCTATGTCTTCTTTATTATTATCATTATCATTATCAAAATTATTATTATCATGATTATTATATTATTATTATTATTATCATCATCATCATCATCATCATCATCATTATTATTAGTATGAATATTATTTTATTGCATTATTATTTACGTGCAGGTATTTTGGTAAAAGATACAGCTATACTCATGGCAAGCGTGGTTCGTCCGCTCAGGAGAGAGTTTTATGTGGCTGCAAGCTCACCGAACCTGAGGTGTCGGCCTGTGGGAGATGTTAATTTTAAAAGATTTGCAATTACAAGCAACAGATCGGGGAAAAAAATTAGTCATTAATAATATATGTTCTCTTATAACTTTATGGAGCAAATCTCCAAATTTATCTGTTTTTGTCTTTTTTGCCAATTGCCGAAGCTAGATGCTTCTTTTCTACATAAACTGGTGCATGTCGCAATACACTTTTATTGGTAAATTAATACTTCGTTCGATTTTAAGGGTACTGTATTAAGAAGACAATAAAGTAAACAGACAATAAAGAGTTTTAGGAGCCTTTATCCTTGAAAAGGTATAAAACAATATGTATTCTGTCACCCATTTCAGTCTATTAAGTTCGTTCGAATCCGAAGAGAAGAATCCTCTTCGCGATATTTCGCTCAGGCAAAATTACGAAAGTTTGATCGTTGAAATGAACCTTCGTCTTGGTGTATCACGTACGTGGACATGTCAAAAGAGCGTGTTTTTTCTTTGCCAAAATTTTCGAATTTCTCCAAAAACCTGTGGGTCTTGTGGTGAAGTTCGTTAGTCGCTACTTTTGCAATATGGGAACTGAGGGATGGAAGATAGCAGGGTGGCAAGAAAGACAGAACAATATTGATATTTTATAACCTCAAAATTATTGTAATAGTAGTAGCCTGGAATTTGGGCACGTTTTGACAGGCTAGAAATGCATCACTTATCATCTGCAAAACCAGAACTTGAGAAGAAGGGTCGGGGGTGGCGCTCATTCACACCATGTGATTGTAGGAGGGGGGGTCCTCAATTAGATCCTCAAAATTATTATAATTCGATAGTATTGGCCTCGAATTTGGGCACGTTTTGACAAGCTAGAAATGCATCACTTACCATCTGCAGAACCAGAACTCTAGAAAAGGGGTGGGGCGTTCATTCACACCATGTGAGTGTAGGAGGGGCGGTCCTCGCCCCTTGAGGAACGAGGGGATATGGGCCCACATCTAGAGCTAATAACCTAGAACCTTTGTTCGCCACTACTTAACCATGTATGAAAGGTGTAGTTACATGACTCCATATTGCTAAGTACCAAGCTCCACTTTTAGCTGAACATATCAATGCCAACTGATTACGCCAAAGGTATAAATGCCACTGCCATGGCTTACAATGCTTACTTACCCCATGAAATACTTGTGTATCCTCCGAAAATATATCTCCCGACCCTTATTATTGTCACAGTCGGACCCTTGCTGTCACATCGTGAGTGAAATGTACGTGCAGCCCAGCCGTCCACGGATGCATGCCAACAGCGCTTCCAGAGAGAATTCACGCTTTTTGCCACAGGTGCTAGCCAGTTTCTTAACAAGGTCAAGTGATTTCTGTTGTTTCCCACAATGACTGAGCTTTCAAAATCTACGTATTAAAAGTCAAACTCCATAAAATGACAGGGCGTCTGGAAAAACCGGAAACCGGAATCCGGAATAGGAACGGGAATGGGAACAGGAACCGGAACCGGAACCGGAAACAGCAACGGAACAGAAACAGCAATGTGAAGGGGAACCGATACAAGAACAGGGATATCATTTACTTTAAATTATTTTAATTCGAATTCAATTTATACAAAATATAAGAACACTACTCTGGTATCATGCTCCCCCCCGAATCTCTTTATAATACGGCAGCGAGGAGGTAGAAAAAGCCGCAAGTTAAATAAGTAAAGCAACAGCTTTGCGAGTGCATCGTATCGCGCTTTCTGTCAAATTCTTCACCGCGTATGCACAACTATGATGTAAATGATCAAATCTTAAGTTCTCTTAAGAACGTGAACGGCAGGCAATAAATTTTATTGTGTCTTTCTGAGCTCGGACGCGGTCTCCAGCTTCATTTCCCAACCTTTAAAAGACTGGGCAATTTGGAATTAATGAGAAATAGTTTGAATTAAGACCTGAATTCAGTTTCTCAGTGGCGTTTTCGCTGGCGTTGCCGTCGTCAGATCTTAAGGTTCCTTTTGTCTCTCACAGGAAGGTGGTTATCACATGTTAATATTATTTGTCAGACCATGTGTATACGAGACACCCATCGGAGACGTTTATTGGGCTGCCATACACCTCAGGTTTGCTCCATAGATATAATTATTGTACGGTGCTAAATTGGGAAGTTAACCAGAGATAGATAGTCCACAGCTTAAAAAGGGTATTAACATGTACTTTCTCCCCCTCCCCCCCTCCCCAAAACCCATCTCAGCGGCCAGTACTTCATCTACCTCAACCGCGTGCAATAGGGACCTTAATAAGCAAGCAGAACGTTGACGTCCAGGACATTAAAAATGGAAACTGGAAGTGGATGTTTTCTGTCTTTAGGTGCTCTGACTCAACAAATTCGCACAGTGGAAGGTAAGAGGAAGAATTCAGATTCGTTGTGTGAGACAGAAGCGTTCCATCAAGCGACGGTCAGCGTTCTCGTTGCTTAAGTTCGCTATTATGTTTGACACGAAAACACAATGTGTCATAGGCTAAAGATAAAGAAAGGTTAATTAGATTAACATTTCAAGGATGTTTTCTTGTTTCTTTAATTATTTCTCTGGCTTTTTATTTATATCACGATTATATCTTTTTCTTTTCATATTCTATACACTGTTTATATTTCCGTTCCTATTCCGGTTCCTATTCTATTTTTCCCTTATTTTTCGTATATAATCTGAACAGGAATTAAATCCAGATTAACTTAAATTAAGGTAAATGTTGTCCCTGCTTTTATATAGGTTTCTCTTCCCATTCCGGTTCCTATTCCGGTTCCGGTTCCTGTTCCTGTTCCTATTCCCGTTCCTATTCCGGAATCCGGATTCCCGCTTTTCCAGACGCCCAAATGACAAGGTAAAAAGTTTTTAAAATGTTAAAACAACTGAATTTATTGAGAAAAAGAGTAGCATTGCAAGTGACCAAAGAAAGCATTTATGCATGCATTTACGTGATTTGCGCGCTATTAAGGAAGGTTAAACATTTAAGATCATTGAAACTCTTAATAGTAAACACGCATAATTGTCTTTAGTTGCAAATTTCTGTAAGCGCAACATACAGTCGCAATGATAGTAGCTCTCTTCTGGCTTTAGCAGTGATTAGATGGCTTTTGAATGCCTGAAAAGTAAACAAACAAACAAAGAAACAACAAAAACAAAAATTAAAAAAAAAAAGCAGTATTCAAATAGATCACCCTGCGATATATTTCGGTATAGCCGTATAGTTCTCGCAGTGGCAACGTTAGACTTTCGAAAAACTGTCCTTCCTAATTAACACTCTTATCTGGTGTTTAACCACGATCGCAAGCTGGATGAGAAGATTTGCACTACTAAAATGAACGTTTAATCTAAGGGTACCTGATTCTTGCTTTGGGGCATTGTATAATTGCGCACTGGGAAGCTATTGTTTCGTGGACGCTCAAGTAATTCATTGCAGTGAGTTCCGTACGCCCAAATGCCCAGTGCCCAATTACCAAAGCAACCTTTTATTGAATCAGGTAATTACAGAGTGAGACGGTACCTTGAATACAAACCTGAACGCACTTGTACTGCTAGGTTGATTCTTTTCTTCTTTGTTCCCATAATGTTAGTAGCTACGCAGTCGTAAAAACCGTTGTCTGCAGGACTCAAGTTGTTAATGGTAAGTGTACCTTGGTTTATAGCAGTCTTTCCAGCAGGTAAAGGCATTGCTGCTCTAGTCCAGGTTACCGCGGGGCGAGGATATCCGTCAGCTTGACATGTTACTTGAAACGTAGTGCCTTGAACTGGTGTGGCAAGTGAAGGTGGAACGTTTGTAAAGACTGGAAGACCTGAAATAGAGCCAATACATGATCGACCAGCATGCATAGAATATAATGTGGTAGGCGTTTTGAGAGGCCAGCGGCACATATCCAGCAAAAATTAACCTAAGTAACCTCCCCGGGTGGTCTAAGCTAAAAAGGGAGAAGGAGAAGGAGAAGGAGAAGGATGGTGTTGAGTGCCCTCGCGTTCAAGTAAGGTCCAAATATTCCTGTCATGTGTTAATATCTTGAACATTATTTAATGTCTTTATGTTTGTATGGCTCAGATTAAAAGTTGAACTACACTCGTGACTACTAGCCTAATACCAATGAGCAAAATCTATAGTCCTTGATCATCACCTCAAGGTATGAGTGAGTATAAATTTTAATTTGGCGTTATACACTGCTGAAAAAATGAAAGAAGAGATAAAAGTAAATGATTAAATAACGGTGCCAGCGGTTTTTATTCAAACCTCGTATTCTCGCATTCTCGGACCACAAAGAAGCCTACAAAATCAAGCAGCCACATATAACAAAACTCTAAGTCAAATGCTCCTCTTACCTCGAACAGTCAAGTTGCTAGTGGCCTCAGACGATCCAAGAATGTTCCTGGCAGCACATGTGTACGGTCCAGCATCGCTGTAATTCAGATTTCTAACTATCAACTCTCCTTCTTTAATCAGATACTTTGCACCGGACAGAAGCTTTGTGCCCTTAAATTGCCATTCCACGACTGGGGAAGGGTTTCCTACAACCGTGCAATAAAATGCCGTATTTCCTTTCTCATCTCGTGTCTGCTCTGCTGGCGAAAACGTCACTTGTGGAGCAGATATCGATTTCCCAGGCCTTCCAGGTGGTCCCGACATACCTTTTGGCCCAGGCTCTCCTTTATCTCCCCTTTCTCCTTTCGGTCCTGCGGGGCCCATCATTCCTTTTTTTCCGGATTTTCCAGGAGGTCCTATGGGACCTTGAGGACCTTGAGGACCTTTCTTTCCTTTTGGTCCCCTCCTGCCACGTGGTCCCCTCGCTCCAATGGGACCAGGATATCCGGGGGGACCTGCAGGACATACCTTCTCACTTGACTTACAGTACTTTGTGGGCATAAGTTGTTCAAACTGTTTTGTGATTTCTTTTCGCACGTCATTTATGGTGACACTAGTTGAAGAGTCATTTAAAAGACGTCTTCGTCTTCTTAGCCGGATTGTTGCTGATGCCTTTTTTGGCAACGGGCTGGCTGCAGTTAAGAAAAATTAAGAAATTTTTAAATATCCATACTAATTCAGTAATATAAAAAATAAAGAGAAAACAAATGAATGATAAGGTTGACATTTCTAACACAAAATTAAGCGTTTCAGAGATTACGCTCCACAAAAAGGTTATTAACACAGTGGAACCCAACTTTTTAATTTGTCCCTGTCTTCTTCCCTTCCTGCTTCCAAGGGAAAGCCAAGCTCATTCTTGATAAACGCACACATTTCAAACCCCCGGGGAGGGGGTGCTCAACAAATGTTTATACGGGGAGGCTCCACCTCGAGGTTCAACCCCTATACCTCTTTTTGCGTTGAAAAAGGTACCCCTTTCGTATACTACCTTCCATTGAGAAATGGCACGCCTTTCACAAACCCTGTTTAGAACTTTGCATCTCTTTTAACTGCTGTAAATGCACTTTCTTTTAAATAGGAATCAATAAAAAAAATAGAACGTTTTTCGACTTTATAAAGCCAAAAATTCATCTTTTTAGCCCCTTTGGGCCCTTTCACAGACCAAATGACAGATTTCCGTACACTTTTATATACTTCCACAAATGAAATCCCTACCCTTTCATATACCTTAAGCCTGAAAAAGATACTCCTTTTGGGGAAACGAAGCCGCTCCGTCTAGGCCATCATAGGGAGTAATCCCCCACGGGGTTCAAACCAACTAAGACCGTTCAATAAACGAACCTTTCATCTTGCCACCCTATCGGCTATCCCTAAGACTCCTTAACCGAACTCCTCTGAAGCCTCAAATTTTACGTTACCGTAACAACTTTATTCACATAGAGCTAAAAAATTTTCTTTTCCTTGAAGAAATAAGCTCTACAACAAACAGATAAACGTAGAAAAAAAATGCTGTGCACTTATTGCCAAAATTGTAACGCCATCCGTGCTCAACCTTAAACGACTTAAACAAGCTCAGTTGCGGAAAACTGTTATGCACACTCTGGACGCACACACTAAATGCTTAGGGAGCTTCCTCTGCCATCCTAAATGGTCGAATATGTAAGCGATAATTTTTTGTTTAATGAAGCTTTATGGTCGTATCGACCACATATCTTGTACGTGAGCAAGTCGTTCGCCACTTAAGCCATGATTCAACATCATTTACACCGTAAATTTTTTTACTGTTTTACCAGTATAGGTGGCTAAGTGAATATCTAAACAGTATTACAAAAGAGTGAGAGTATTTCAAAAGGGTTCATACAGTTTTAGTTGAAGTAAAAATTCAATTCTGTCATGAAATATCCAAAGATCCCGTACACTTGAACTGTGTGAAAGATTATATGCCTAAATCAAAAGAGGAAAATCTCAGTTCTAAATATCCATCTGGATCTAAAAAACATCTGAAATGATGATTTTACCTGGAGTATAACCAATCCTTTCTGAAATATGTGTCTGAACTTTCTTATAAAGATCTCTTGCTGTGCCTTTTGTCGGTAAAAGAGACATCCTGTCAGTATTTTCAGCCGAGACACTCTGAACGCAGGGGAAAAGGTTAACGCGAGATTCCAGCGCGATCAATCGTTCATTTGTTGTTTCATTCTTCACCCAGAGACATCCGCAGACAAAAACTAACACAACAGAGAGGAACGATGGTCTAAATGACGGAACAAAATCGAGGAGTCGACGAGATTCTGAGGAGCTCGAGGATTTCATTTCTGCAGCTTACATGCCAATCGTCCCATGCATATGAAGACGGAGGTAAGTGGGAAACTTGCCAGTAAAACTTGATCCTTAAAAAATTCGTTTAGAGAAACATGTCATCACGATTGACGTTAAAACAAGGTTTTATAAGCAGTGTCATAAGGGACGGCACGTACGGACAGATATAAAAAAAATTACCTTATGGGGGAGGGGGAAGGTGAAGTACGAAAAGGAGAAAATATTCGGGTAAGGGAAACCGCCCTAAATGAAAGAAATTCATGCACGCCAAGTAACGCCAAAAAATATTCATGCACTAGCCTAAAAAATTCATACAAAGGAAATGCTAACGCGAATTCACGCGAGTTTTCTATAATAATGGTCTGTCCCTAATTGACCTTTTTCCTTTTTGCATTTTCGTGTTCCAGTAAAACGTGCTAAATAGCCGGTGAAAAGCGGAAAAAATTCAGTATTTATATTTACTGATTGATTTCTGTTTTTTTTTTTTTTTTTTTTTTTTCATTATCCAGAAGTAATTTTCATCAAGATGGATGATACGCTTTTTAATTTTGTAGTCTATTTCAGTCTGAATAAGAACTCTGTTAACCACTGGTTTTTCACTCTCTTTACGAAACCAGATTATAACAGATACGGTGAGGCGCCGCGCGCCTGAAAGGAAATAGGGATCTTAGGCAACTACGACGCCGACGACGACAACTTAAAAAAACAATAGGTTTACTGATCAAAACAACAGCTCTGACGTGCATCACGCTTTTTAGTACATTTGTCTGACGTCCACTGCACGACTACGACGTGAAAGCTCCTAATTTGACGTTTTATGGAGGACGTGGACATACGACGACGAATTTTCCTTCCTCTTTTTGAACTTGAATAAATTCTTAACGAATTTAACTCAAAGAAAAGTCTCCTGCATTTGACGTATTGAGCGGGTCCAAATAGACGCGATTAAGTTTGAAAGAACGCAAATTCATTTTTTTAGCGACGTTTTCACTGCCGTCGTCGTCATCATTGCTTAAGGTCCTTAATAACCTTTCTCAGGCTTCAGCTTAAGCAAAGGGGAGGGAATTCATGAACAGAATTATTTGAAAGGGTAGGAAAACCTGTCATACAGGTATTTAAAAGGAGGTTAACACGATGATTGGTTGCCATGGCTTTTCCTCCAGCAACTTTCAAAACTGAGCTTTTTAGGCCCCGGACAGACGTAGAGTGCAACGATTTTATCGAAGCTTCGCAGGGAAGTAGTTGGATGAATTACGTGCAGTTACCTGTCTTTCATTAGTTTGATTTCATCCCATTTGATTGCTATAGTGAAGCCATAAATGGCGTCTAAATTTAGCATGAAGTAACATTTAGGAAAGCAATGTTGAAAACTTGGTTTATATCAAGTTTCTGTAGGTTTTTCTATGATTTTTGGTGAAAACTACATTTCAATGGGATAAAAAGGCTTAAAGTTACAGCTAATTAAAAAATTCAAATTTCCCACAACATGACCATACATGGTCAGACTTTAGGGGTATTTAAAAGGCGAGAACAATGAATGTATTGGCACAGGAGCAAGGAGAACGTTCCATAAAATCAAAATTGCAGTTTATTTGACTTAGGGTATGTGGTGCTATGAAGCGTTTTTGACAGCTAAATGTAGTATTGGTTTAATTATCTATATTAATCGACTACAGTATGTAGTTCAAGGACGAAATAGGGGTTCGTTATAAAAAAGAAAATATAAGACGTTAATTTTGGGACTCGGCTTAGTGTCCGCTTGATAGAGGGTGTCCGCTTAATTGGAGGTCCGCTTAATAGAGGTTTCACTGTATAAAGTTTTTAACATTGTTTTCCTAAATTTTGCTACTGATGTCAAATTTAGATCTCATTTACGGTGTCACAATGGCAATCAAATGGGAGAAAGTTTATCCTAATCTCGTGCCCAGATCTCACTCTGTTGAACACTGAAGGAGATCTGGGTACGAGACTACTTCCCGCTGCCAAGTTTCTGTAAATGTTGTATTCTACTTCTGTCTGTGGCCTTAAAAACGCACAGTTTTGAGAGTTGCGGGAGCAAAAGCCATAGCAACCGACAATCGCGTGAAATTAATATCATTTTTTTGAAAAAACGAGCCTCGTGACAAGATCATTTTAGTTTTAAATCATTTCTTACCGCTACAGAAGTACACAAGAAAGATAGACTTAGAGCACTGTCATAAACCTGATAACAAATTCATCTGATTTTATATTGTTCCTGGATCATCGTTAAGTTTGATCAAAAATAAAGCTCAAACAGTGGTGATAAATATTGTGAGCTTTCGCATTTTTATAAACTTGACGTTTAGTAAGGCTTCAACATACATTTTCAAAAGTGATCTAAATACATTTTCAAAGGTAATTTTGAAAATATATATTTTCTAAATACATTTCAAAAGTGATTATTGGGCTTCTTTTCCTGACCTCGTTTCAGCAAGACAGCCAAGTGTGAAAGTTTACTAGAACTAAGTACGTAGTACTTTTAGCGAAGACAACCATCTCAGCTCATCAGAGCTGTTCATTTTATTTAGCTAGGTTGATTCGTAAAAGGTTTCAACTTCATCTGGTGTGAATGTGTAAGTTCCTGCCAGGAATGTTTTGGCGAAGGTGCTGCGGTAGCTGTACCCGCTCGGTGGGCTGTAAGTATATTCAAGGTTGCTATAAGAATTGCTATTGATGCGTCGCTTTTTATGTTAATGTCGTGTCCTCCGAATGTTGGCCCATATGAGGAAAAAAGTATATGGAATATGCTTTGCGATAGCTATGTTGCCCTGTCTGAGACAGTCTAACAGGCGCCCATCCTGGTTTGTTCACCAGTGAAAATAAAGGCTTTGGAGTCGTATTGATACCGGCCAGATAACGATGCTAGTAAGAAGAAAGAAAGAAAAAATATATATTGAATAGAAAATAAGTTATTAACATTGTCCTACATAAAAATATTAAAATCATTAATAATATTATTAAAATTAATAATAATGATAATTCATAATGAAGCAAATTCGAGTTGCTTAGTTTACATAAGTATGACGAATCACTCTTGACTAATGAACGACACGTTTTATCAAGAGCTAATTCAGTTCATTCTTGTCATTCCTTTTAGGAATTTCTTGTAAATATTTTTATTATAAATTGTTCTAGTTATAATAGAATCCACCGTAAGCGGTCACTCTTTGAACCAGACCATTCAGTTCTTCAGTTTAGGAGAGATTTCCTCTAAAGGTAGATTGAGATCCGTGTTTCTATGTGGCTACAGGCAGGTGTACAGGGATAAACACTACGGCCCGGTTGTCCCGAGCGACGCATCTAGTGCAAGCATACGTATACGCATGAGCATAACTTAAGGATAAAAATAAGCATGAACACGAAAAGCTTAATGTGCACTATCATAAAAAGCATCAGCTTAAGAAAAATCCAAGGTTTTGATGTTCTTGTACTTATGGTTTTGATTTAGTTTAAGCCGTCCTCATTAGATCCTTATGCGCATGCATGCTTTATATACTTGCGTCGCTAGGGAGGACCAGGTTTAAAGAACTGTCCGCTTATCGGGGCTGAGGTGAGGTGTCTGACTACAAGAAGTGTCAATTAGCAGAAATTTGCAATTATGAAAGCAATTGACGAGAAAAAAAGAACAAGAATTAGATTAGAATGTTTCGTGTCACTTAAGAAAACAAGTCGCCAAATTCATGTGTTGTTTTTTTCCTCCCCATTTCCCAAAGCTTTCTACAATCTGGTGAATTAGTAATAATACTCTTACCACAGTAATGAAGCCTTTGTTATTTGTTAAGCCTTATTTTATTTTATTATTTATCATAATAAAAATTATTATTATTATTATTACTATTATTATTATTATTATTATTATTATTATTATTATTATTATTTCTATTATCATTATTATTGTTAGGTCCGTTTTGCAGGCTAGAAATTCTCATCACTTTGCTGATCCAGATCTTGAGGAGAGGGGGCTGGGGATTGGGGCTCATTCACACCTTTTTAAGGTCTACTGAGGTGGGGCGATCGTCGGCCATTGAAGGGTGAGAGATGCGGGCCCGCATCTAGATCCGCCAACCCTAAACCTATATTCGCCACTACTTAATGAAAGGATGGGTTAACTGAGTCTTTATAGGGCAGTACCAAGCTGCACTTTTAGCTGAACATAGGCTTAAATAACCGTACTGGTGGTCCATGCACCAAAATCTGCTGTTTTACAACGTTCACTTACCCCAAGATTTACTGGTGTATCCTCCAAAAATGTATCTCCCGACCCTTATTATTGTCACAGTCGGGCCCTTGCCGTCACATCGGGAGTGAAGTATACTTGCAGCCCAGCCGTCCACGGATGCACGCCAACAGCGCTTCCACAGAGAATTGATGCTTTTTCTCACAGGTTTGAGCCAGCTGCTTAAGGAGGTCAAGTGGTTTCTGTTGTTTCCCACAATGACGGAGTTTTCAAAAGCTAAAAAGTAAAAAAAAACCTTCTTTAACAAGTCAAACAAATTATTCTTTGGCCAAGTGAAAAGTTTAAAAATTTGACGTCAACTGCATTACATGTATAGATGGTTTTCACTATGACGTCATCAAATTGTTAAGTCAAAATAGCGAGGTTTTACGAATTCTTATTTACACTAGCTTGAAGATAAACAAAAAATAAATCTTTGTACAAGTTTCCAGTCCCGTACCATGTTTCATTTCGAAAATACAGCAATTTGAACTTCCGAGTTTTCACATTGCGTGACAACAAAATAGGAATACTGCCTCGTTGAAAAAAGTCTCTCCTCTTGATAATCAGCAGTATAACCACTTCAAGTATTAGAAGATGTGTTTATGCGTACGTATGCTAGTTCTCGAGTGAAAAGAAAGAGCTTTTATAGGAAAAGTGAACTCCAGATGTTTTTGTTGATTTCCGGCGGCCATATTGGTGCACCAAAACGGTGCACCAATATGGCGTCTCTATACAAAGCTTAGCCTGCGTAGCAAGCGTTTCCGCGCGAGTTCGTCTCTAACTTTCGCGCAATAACTCGATTGGAAACGCTTGCTACGCAAGCTATACAAAGCTCTACAAAGGTGCGTGAAACGTTTCGGCAAATAACTCAGAAACTGTGGGCCACAAAGACCTGAGACTTGGACCAATTGTTTATATAATAGTCTTTTATAACATTTCATTTTCTTAGCTTCTTCCACTGGACGGTTTCCAATTTAATTTTTTGTTGCGTGGCAGTGAAAACGATCTATTGTCATTTGCAGGGCTGAATTAGCAAAAAGAGTAACGTCGCAAGTGACTAAAGAAAGAGTGCCGATTCATGTATTTGATTTGCTAATAAGAAATTTTAAGCATGAAACTTTGATCCGGTTAACACACAAGTCTTCAAATGAAAATTTATGTCAGCACCTCATGCACAATGACTATACAGCTCTCATTGGTTTTTTTTGTGATATTAAACGTTTAAAAAAAAAATCCAGCCATGGATGGGATTCGAACTAATCACCGTGCGATACAGCGGTATAGTTCTTACGTATATAGGCTTTCGAAAAAGTGTCCATCGTCCTTTGATGAGTAAAGAATAAGATGATGATGGTGGTGATCGTGATGATGATGATGGTGATGATGATAAACTTTAAATATTTATACACGGTTAAAATTTTCGTATAATAATAGAAAATGAATAAGTTCTAGAAGTTGTTTTACATGGTTGCCGTATGGGAGCATGATCAGCAAACCGAGAGTGAATGTTCCCTCAAAGTCACCTGATTTAGAGAATTTGCTGTGCGTACGTACATTCTCGGGAAGATTTTTCCATAAGTAAGCACCACAGTAACACAAGCCACCTCAGACCGCTTTACAGTAATCAAAGCGTGGTTCAATAAGACCTTAGCATATCATAACTTCATTGTGCATAGAAACAAATGGCTCGACTCGCTTAAGCGCACCAATGTTTTAGGGGGCTTTTTTGAAATGTCATGTTGGTGGGCCTTCCAAGAGAGATTATCGTCCGTAAGCCCAATAAATTTGCTATGAGTTGTTAAGTTTAGTTGGACGCCATCCTTATAAATTTTTATTGTGTAGTCATTTGAAGATTGTAGTTTCTGCCCCGAGCTAATAATCATAGGCTCTGTTTTGGCGACATTGAGACTTAAATTGTTAGCTTTAAGCCAGAGATCAATATGCTTCAATTCAGCATTGATCTGTAATTCGAGATCAGGTATGCTAGGTGCAGAAAATGTAGAACCAGCATTCAGACAGTTTAGAGGATCATTATGTAGATAAAAAAGTGAAGGGGGCCTATTATTAACTCTTAAGGTACAGTGAAGAGGACTCTAACTAGATAGACAGTTACTTATGATACACCTTTGCAATGCATCTTAGATGTTTAACAAAGGTCGCAATGGTTTATGGATTAGACGACTGACATTAAACTGAATGTTTAATCTATTCATACCTTGTTCAATCAAGGGGATTGCTTTGGGCATTGGGCAATTACGCTCTCGGGAAGCTATACTATTATTTGGCGGTCATTTAAGCAAGTCATTGCAGTGAGTTTCGTATGCCCAAACGCTCAGGACCAATTGCGCCAATGACCAACTCTCAAAGCAACCTTTGACTGAATTAGATATATGCGGTGCCTGCAATACAAACCTAAGCGACGCACTTGCACTGCCACGTTGATTCTTGTCTTCTTTGTTCCCATAATATTAGTAGCCGGCACGCATTCATAAAAACTGCTGTCATCAGGACTCAAGTTGTTAATGGTAAATGTGCTTTGGTTTATACTGGTCCTTCCAGCATGTAAAGGCATTGCTGCTCTAGTCCAGTTTATTTCGGGGTGAGGATATCCTTCAGCTTGACAGGTTACTTGAAACGTAGAACCTTGTATTGGTGTGGAAATTGAGAGTGGAACTTTTGTGAAGATTGGAAGACCTGAAATAGAGCCGAAAATAAACGGGACGCACAATAATTAAAATTAAACAGCTTATATTCCTTTCTTTTCTGAGAACCCTTTCAAGCTCCGTGCTAAAAAGTGTTACTGATAAACATTGTTAAAGCCGAAAAGGGAGAAAAAGAAACGTATTAATTCATAAAGATAGGTGAGAGATCGGTAAGAGTTGTGTAGGATATTGAAAGTCAAGACTAATTAAAGCAAACGCCTTGAAGCAAACTCAGAATTCATCATATAGAAAGGTCATGCATTGAGGTAGTTTAATTAACGTTCAAGAAAAAAAACAAATTGGAAGGAATGGAACAGGGGCACCCAACGATGGTTTCAGGGGCACCCAACGAGAATATAGTTCAAAACCACTTAAACATAGAATTGTTGAACGTATTTTAGTATTTAAACGGTAGATATAGGCATATTTTTATCCCCTAAAAATTTTTCATCTGTTCGGATTTCTTAGCTGAAAGTCTAGTGATCCGAAAATTATAGGGATCAAAACTTAACTTTTCGAAAATTTCAGCCAGAAAAAAGGCTCCCGAAAATTCTAGGTGACCTTTTTAGGGTAAAAATCCGTCAAAAATAAGCAATTATACCATTTTTTAGATGTCCGAAAATCCTAGGAGAGGCAGGCAAGCAATAAATTTTACAACAAATGTTCCGAAAATTCTAGATCTCAAATCGTCTTCCGAACAGATATTTTTCCGAAAATTGTCGTTGGGTGCCCCTGTGGTTTCCTCCAAAATGCACAGAAAAGTCTTATTAGGCTATCCAGCACTTTTAGATCTCTAGAAATGCATTCAAAGTTGCGCTATAAAATTTGTGTCTGTTCGGTCATCCTAGGCGAACTAATGGCTTTTCGAAATTATCAGGGCTAATTCAACATTTATTTTCCCGAAATTTTCAGGGTGCAATTTCACTTTTTACGAAAGTGAGAGTTTTTCTTATTTCTCTCTCCATTACATTTTTGAATCCGAAAAGTTTAAGTTTCCTTTTTCTACGAAAGTTAGCCTAACATATATAAGGAGTAAAATATGAAAAAAAATAAACTTTAGAAAATCTTAGGGAATTTTTTAGATAGGCTTCGAAAATTGTACCTCAATGGGACGCTCATCTAGAATTGTTTAGCCGTATTCAATCAAGAGAAAATTCTAGGCATTACTAGCTTCTCCGAACAGATATTTTACAGAAAACAGTCGTTGGGTGCCCCTGATGGAAGAATCGTGTTGTGTGCCTTCGGGTAAATGGTGAAGATTGTCATCTGTTATTATCTTGAAGTATTGATGAATTAAAATGAAGGAAGAGATAAAAATACACTATTAAACAAAAGAGCATAAACAGACCTACATAATCAAGCAGCCAGATATAACAAAAATACAGTGTTCCGCTTACCTCTAACAGTGAAGTTGCTTGTGGCCTCGGAAGATCCAAGAATGTTTCTGGCAGCACATGTGTACGGTCCAGCATCGCTGTAATTGAGATTTCTAACGATCAACTCTCCTTCTATAATCAAATACTTAGCACCTGACAGAAGTTTTCTGCCCTTAAATTGCCATTCCACGACTGGGAAGGATTTCCTGCGACCGTGCAATTAAATGTCATAAACCAAAAAAACATACTTTATTAAACTCTTCTCAAAATGAAAATTAAATACAAATTTAGTATAACTATAGCTAAAAAAGACTTCTTGGTGGTCTGCATGGTGGTTTTCAACAGAGCAAATGTAAACAACTGTTATTATTAATATCATTATTATTATTATTATTATTATTATTATTATTATTATTATTATTATTTTCATTATTACTATGGGGTCCGTTTTTGCAAGCTAGAAATTCATCACTTTCCTGATCCAGATCTTGAGGTGGAGCGAGGGGGGAGAGGGATTGGGGCTCATTCAGACTAGTTATAATAACAATATAATATTATAATAATCATATACATATACATAGCGCCTTTCTCTTAGTGATTCAAAGCGATTTACAATCAGTAAATACTTCAAAAACAAATAATTCAGACACAGCATAACAGGATTTAAAACCCCAACTGACAGGAGGCAACCAATTGGCTATTTTACAAGCGTGGCCGTTGATTTGAACTCGGGACGACCGAGAACAAATCCAGCAAGTGGCCAGAGGGGGACTCGAACCCGGGACTGCCGGATTGCGAGTCCTACGCACTGACCACTCGGCCATGCTGCCTCACACCTTATTAAGTCTACTGAGATAGGGCGATCCTTGGTCCTTGAAGGGCCAGGGATGTGTACCCGCATCTAGATTCGCCAACCCTATAAACCTTTATCCCCGTCCACCGTAGTACTAAGCTGCACTTTTAACTGAACATATGCTTAAAAGACGGCACAATCGTCTGGTTTACAATGTTCACTTACCCCATGAAATACTAGTGTATCCTCCAAAAATGTATCTCCCAACCCTTATTATTGTCACAGTCGGGCCCTTGCCATCACATCGGGAGTGAAATGTACTTGCAGCCCAGCCGTCCACGGATGCACCCCAACAGCGCTTCCAGAAAGAATTCACGCTTTTTGTCACAGATTTAAGCCAGTTGCTTAAGGAGGTCAAGTGGTTTCTGTTGTTTCCCACAATGACGGAGTTTTCAAAAGCTAAGTCAAAAAAACTTTCTTTAACATGTCAAACAAAATATTATTTGGTCAAGTAAAAAGTTTTAAAATTTGACATCAACTGGATTATTGTGCAGGGCTGAATTAGCAAAAAGAGTAACATTGCAAGTGACTAAAGAAAGAGTGCCGATTCATGTATTTGATTTGCTAATAAGGAATTTTAAGCATGAAACTTCAGTTAACACACAAGTCTTCAAATGCAAATTTATGTCAACACCTCATGCACAATGACTATATAGCTCTCATTGCTTTTTTTTTTTGTGATATTAGATGTTTTAAAAAAAAGCCAGTCATGGATGGGATTCGAACTAATCAACGTGCGATACAGCGGTATAGTTCTTACGTATCTAGGCTTCCGAAAAAGTGTCCATCGTCCTTTGATGAGTAAAGAATAAGATGATGATGGCGGTGATCGTGATGATGATGATGATGATAAACTTTAATTATTTATACATGGTTAAAATATTCGTATATAATAATAGAAAATGAATAAATTCTATAAACTGTTTTACATAATTGCCGTGTGGGAGCATGATCAGCAACCCGAGAGTGAATTTTCCCTCAAAGTCATCTGATCTAGAGAATTTGCTCTGCGTACGTACATCCTCGGGAAGATTGTGCCATAAGTAAGCACCACGGTAACACAAGCCACCTCAGACCGCTTTACAGTAATCAAAGCGTGCTTCAGTAAAACCTTTACATATCATAACTTCAGTGTACATAGAAACAAATGGCTCGACTCGTTTAAGCGCACCAATGTTTCAGGGGGCTTTTTTGAAATGTCATGTTGGTGGGCCTTCCAAGAGAGATTATCGTCCGTAGGCCCAATAAATTTGCTATGAGTTGTTTCGTTTAGTTGGACGCCATCCTCATAAATTTTTATTGTGTAGTCATTTAAAGATTGTAGTTTCTGCCCCGAGCTAATAATCATAGGCTCTGTTTTGGCGACATTGAGACTTAAATTGTTAGCTTTAAGCCAGAGATCAATATGCTTCAATTCAGTATTGATCTGTAATTCGAGATCAGGTATGCTAGGTGCAGAAAATGTAGAACCAGCATTCAGACAGTTTGGAGGATCATTATGTAGATAAAAAAGTGAAGGGGGCCTATTATTAACTCTTAAGGTACAGTGAAGAGGACTCTAACTAGATAGACAGTTACTTATGATACACCTTTGCAATGCATCTTAGATGTTTAACAAAGGTCGCAATGGTTTATGGATTAGACGACTGACATTAAACTGAATGTTTAATCTATTCATACCTTGTTCAATCAAGGGGATTGCTTTGGGCATTGGGCTATTACGCTCTCGGGAAGCTATACTATTATTTGGCGGTCATTTAAGCAAGTCATTGCAGTGAGTTTCGTATGCCCAAACGCTCAGGGCCAATTGCGCCAATGACCAACTCTCAAAGCAACCTTTGACTGAATTAGATATATGCGGTGCCTGCAATACAAACCTAAGCGACGCACTTGCACTGCCACGTTGATTCTTGTCTTCTTTGTTCCCATAATATTAGTAGCCACGCATTCATAAAAACCGCTGTCATCAGGACTCAAGTTGTTAATGGTAAATGTGCTTTGGTTTATACTGGTCCTTCCAGCATGTAAAGGCATTGCTGCTCTAGTCCAGTTTATTTCGGGGTGAGGATATCTTCAGCTTGACAAGTTACTTGAAACGTAGAACCTTGTATTGGTGTGGAAATTGAGAGTGGAACTTTTGTGAAGATTGGAAGACCTGAAATAGAGCCGAAAATAAACAGGATGCACAATAATTAAAATTAAACAGCTTATATTCCTTTCTTTTCTGAGAACCCTTTCAAGCTCCGTGCTAAAAAGTGTTACTGATAAACATTGTTAAAGCCGAAAAGGGAGAAAAAGAAACGTATTATATTAATTCATAAAGATAGGTGAGAGATCGGTAAGAGTTGTGTAGGATATTGAAAGTCAAGACTAATTAAAGCAAACGCCTTGAAGCAAACTCAGAATTCATCATATAGAAAGGTCATGCATTGAGGTAGTTTAATTAACGTTCAAGAAAAAAAAAACAAATTGGAAGGAATGGAACAGGGGCACCCAACGATGGTTTCCTCCAAAATGCACAGAAAAGTCTTATTAGGCTATCCAGTACTTTTAGATCTCTAGAAATGCATTTAAAGTTGCGTTATAAAATTTGTATCTGTTCGGTCATCCTAGGGGAACTAATGGCTTTTCGAAATTACCAGGACTAATTCAACGTTTAGTTTCCCGAAATTTTCAGGATGCAATTGCACTTTTTACGAAAGTGAGAGTTTTTCTTATTTCTCTCTCCATTACATTTTTGAATCCGAAAAGTTTAAGTTTCCTTTTCTACGAAAGTTAGCCTAACATATATAAGGAGTAAAATATGAAAAAAAATAAACTTTAGAAAATCTTAGGGAATTTTTTAGATTGGCTTCGAAAATTGTACTTTAATGGCACGCTCATCTAGAATTTTTTAGCCGTATTCAAACAACAGTAGGCATTACTAGCTTCTCCGAACAGATATTTTACAGAAAACAGTCGTTGGGTGCCCCTGATGGAAGAATCGTGTTGTGTGCCTTCTGGTACATGGTGGAGATTGTCATCTGTTATTATCTTGAAATATTGATGAATTAAAATGAAGGAAGAGATAAAAATACACGATTAAACAAAAGAGCATAAACAGACCTACATAATCAAGCAGCCAGATATAACAAAAATACAGTGTTCCGCTTACCTCTAACAGTGAAGTTGCTTGTGGCCTCGAAAGATCCAAGACTGTTTCTGGCAGCACATGTGTACGGTCCAGCATCGCTGTAATTCAGATTTCTAACGATCAACTCTCCTTCTATAATCAAATACATAGCACCTGACAGAAGTTTTCTGCCCTTAAATTGCCATTCCACGACTGGGAAGGATTTCCTGCGACCGTGCAATAAAATGTCATATTTCCTCCCTCATCTCGTGTCTGCTCTGCCGGCGACAACATCACTTGTGGAGCAGATATCGATTTCCCAGGCCTTTCAGGTGGTCCCGGCATGCCTTTTGGCCCAGGCTCTCCTTTATCTCCCCTTTCTCCTCTCGGTCCTGCGGGACCAGTTAGTCCTGTTTTTCCGGATTTTCCAGGTGGTCCCATGGGACCTTGAAGACCTTTCTTTCCCTTTGGTCCCCTCCTACCACGTGGTCCCCTCGCTCCAGTGGGACCAGGATATCCGGGGGGACCTGCAGGACAGACTTTCTCACTTGACTTACAGTACTTGGTGGGCATAAGATGTTCAAACTGTTCGCTGATTTCTAGATCTACGTACGAACACATTTCAAACCAACTGAGACCTTTTGAAACGCACTTTCAATCTTACCACCCTATCGAAGTTACCAAAGGTTCTATTAAGTACGGCGGCAAGACTCTTTAACCGAACTCCTCTAGAAGCATTTAAAAAAATATGTCAGACAAATTTTACGCCACCCTAACAATGTTATTCAGACAGTGCTATTTCAGACTAATTTTCCCCACTCGTTTTCAGGCCAGACCACTAAAGTTCATACCCATTTTCAGACATGGCCTTTAGCCAGAAATTTTGCCATCATTACTTAGATTAGAGCTCAAACAAAAAAATTTCTTCAAATGCATTTCGAATTCACATATTTCTATTTCGTTCTTATTCATTTGCAATTAAAACGACAATTACGTTCATGTATACGCTCCCGTAGTTTCCTCGAAAACCAAACCCAATTCCAGACCAAAATGGGCAAAGTTTATACCCGTTTTCAGACCAAAAAGGCCCAAAAACCATACTCTTTGTGGCAGCACATACCTATTAATGGCTTATATAACGGAGTGCGCCCCTGGGTATTGACCAAATATCTTGTACGCGAGCAAGTCGTTCGACACTTAAGCTATGAATTCAACATCATTTACACCGTAAATTTCTTTATTGTTTTACCAGTATAGGTGGCTTAGTGAATATCTAGGCAGTATTGCAAATTAAAAGAGGGAGAATATAACAAAAGGGTTACTCATACAGTGTTAGTTGAAATTAAAAATTCAATTCTGCTATGAAATATCCAAAGACTCCGTACCATAGCGAACTCACACCATGAAAGATTATATGCCTATAAAAATCAAAAGAGGATAAACTCAGTTCTAAACATCTACCTGCGTCTAAATAACGTCTAAGGCGATGATTTTACCTGGAGTATAACCAATCCTTTTTGAAATGTTTGTCTGAACCATCTTGTAAAGATCTCTTGCTGTGCCTTTTGTCGGTAAAAGAGATATCCTGTCAGTATTTTCAGCCGAGACTCTCTGAACGCAGGGGAAAAGGTTGATGCGAGATTCCAGCGCTATCAGTCGTTCGTTTGTTTTATCATTCTTCACCCAAAGACATCCGCAAATGAAAACTAATACCACGGAAAGGAATGATGGTTTAAGTGACGGAACAAAATCAAGGAGTCGACGAGATTCTGAGGAGTTCAACGATTTCATTTTTGCAGCTTGCCAGTCGTGCCATGCTTATGAAGACGAGGGTAAGTGGGAACTTGCCAGTAAAACTTGATCCTTAAAAATTTTGCCAAGAGAAACATGTCACGACGATTGACGTAAAGATAACAAGGCTTCATTTGTAAGGAGTGTTATATAAGGGACGGCACGGACCATAAAAAACGTAATTTATAAGGGAGGGTGGGGGAGGTGAAGTACAAAAAGAAAATATTCGTGCAAGGGAAAACTAAATGAAAAAAATTCATGCACGCAAAGTAACGCCAATAAATTCATGCAACGGAAATGCTAACAAAAATAAATCCTACGATAATGCGACTTTCCTAACGGTCTGTCTCCTATAATTGACCTTCTTCCTGTTTGCTTCTTCGTGTTGCAGTAAAACGTCCTCAGAAAAGTAGCGGGTAAAAAGCGGAAAAATTTAAATCTTGATATAAATGACTGATTCCTGTTTTTTGCTTGTTTTGTTTGATCGTTTGTGTTTTTTAATGATTCCAGCAATAATAATAATTTTTATATTAATTTTTTCCAAGATCCATGATGCGTGTTTTAATTTTGTAGTCCATTTCAGCCTTTCATTAAGAACGCTGTTAACCATTGGTTTTAACCCATTCGCTCCTGGAGATTTTGCCGACAAACGCGTTTTGAGGCTAGTCGAGTGGTTTTCTGGTCACTGTCGTGCTATAAGGAGCTAAAACTTACCACAAACCGGTTTACAGGTCGTACACTTCGCGGCCTTCTGATCCAGATGCAAAATATCAGCTTGCGAAGTTCGGGCATGCGCAGAAAGCAAAATTTCGAGACTTTTACTTTTCGCTTTCTCGATCTCCTCCCCTCTTTTTTCGCTTTTCTCGCCTCATTTTTTTTTCCTCTTGCTGGGCATTTAGTAGGCTTCTTTTTGTTGGGAAGAGTTTTTAGGAAAGCTTTTAGGATCTTAGGATTAGGTGAAAGGAAAGGTAGGTGAGCAATGGAACAAGATTTTCATGGAGATTTTCAGGTCAATGTCACATGGTTTTTTGCTTCTTTCTCCGGTGTCCTTGACTGAATTGTGCTCATTCTGGTATGGTTTGAAATATCTCTTCACTCTGCACAAGTTAGCGAACAAAGTTGTCCTTGACCGTTAAAACTGATGACGTCACAAAGGGCAGAAAGGACGTGGATCCGCACGGGCGGTTACAGGCGGTTCAGGGGCGAATGGGTTAATTAAAAAAAGGTTTTCACTTGTTGTCGTGGGAAGGGAGGGGAGGGAGGGGAGAGGGTGTTACTCCCTATATGAAATATGATGGCTGCTACAGGGAGGCTCCGGCTGAAAGTGACACCTTTCCAGCTCAGGCTTCAGCTATATCAAAGGGTAGGGAATTAACGAATAGAATTATATCAAAGGGTAGGAAAAGTTAACATTCAGGTATTTGAGAGGGGCTTAAATTAATATTTTCTGAAAAGACGCGCCTCATGATAATATCATTTCAAATTTTAAATCATCTCTTTCCATGCTAAATACACAGGATTAATGGACTTATAGAGCACTGTCATATACCTGATAACAAATTTATCTTACTTTATATTCATAATATATTATTGGGCTTCTTTTCCTGACCTCGCTTCAACAAGCAGCCAAGCGTGAAAGTTTACTAGAACTAAGTACGAGAGTGAAGAATGATCATCGCAGTAAATTTTCCAATTTAACCAATTGGAAAGAAGAAGCCTGAAAAAAAAAGTCAGGGCTTCTTCTTTCCAATTGCTTAAATTGGAAAATTTACTGTGATGATCATTCTTCACTCTCATCTACAACCGCAGTTCAAAAATGAATTATTTCATATACTTCACCGAACTAAGTACGTAGTACCGTTTTAGCAAAAAGACAACCATCTCAGCTCAAATATCAGAGCCGATGCAATTCATTTCATTTAGCTAGGTTGTTCCGTAAAAGGTTTCAACTTCGTCTGGTGTAAACTTGTAAGTTCCTGCCAGGAATGCTTGCTATAAGAATTAATAATAATATTAAAAATAAATTATTAGGCTATTTTACCTTAAGTAATATTTCCTAACCTCCGGTCGTTTAAGATAGCAGCCAAGTGTGAAATTTTACTGCAGAGCTTAAAGCGGTTACTGTTAAAAAGTAATAAAATATCAGGGCTGATGTCAGTCATACTATACTTAGGTTGTTTCGTAAAAGGTTTCAACTTCGTCTGGTGTGAACTTGTAAGTTCCTGCCACGAATGTTCGTGCAAAGGTGCTGCCGTAGCTGTATCCGCTCGGTGGGCTGTACTCATTGCCAAGGTCGCTATAAGAATTGCTATTGGATGATGCGTCGCTTTTTATGTTAATGTCGTGTCCTCCTCCGAATGTAGGCCCATTTGATGAGTAACTGTAAATGGAATATGACTTTCTATAACTATACTTCCCTGTCTGAGATAGTTTAACAGGCGCCCATCCTGGTCTGTTCACCAGTGAAAACAAAAAGGCTTTGGAGTCGTATTGATACCCAGATGCTCCTAGAAGAGACAAAGAAAAAAAGATATTGAAAATAAGTTAGTAACATTGTCCTAGTACCTATAATAATATCTTAATAAAAAGCTGCACACAAAACGTCAGTCAGTAAATATTAATATTAAAAGGAAAACGTCAATATCAATACAAAATTCCGGTAAAACACCTTCGCAATTCAAAAATCCAAGAAATCACAAAGAGTTATAAAAAAACAATTAATCATAATCATAATCCTAATCATAATAATAAATGACAATCACATGCACTGTAATGCAATGCACGCGGTTTATCAAGAGCCAAATCAATTCTGCTCAATCTTTTCTTTCTTTTAATGAATTTCTTTACTATTTTTACCATTAATATAATTATAATAGAATCTACCGTAAGCGGTCACTTTTTGAACCAGTCAGTTCTGCAGCTTAGAAGAAATTTCCACTAAAGGGAGATTAAGATTCATCTTTTTATGTGGCTACAGGGATCAAGAGCGACGCAAGCGCAAGCATACGTATCATCGTGAGCATAACTTAACATAAAAATAAGCATACACAGCACGAAATGATTAATAATTATATACTATCATAAGAAGCATAAGTATAAGAAAAATTAGAGGTTTTGATATTCTTGTATTTATGCTTTTGATTTGGTTTAAGCCGTCCTCACTTATGTTCATGCTATACTGATATACTTGCGTCTGCTAATCGGAGGTAAAGTGAGGTGTTTGACTACGAGAAGTGTCAGTTAGCAGAGATTTGCAATTTTGAAAGCAATCGATGAGAAAAAAAAAAAAGAATTAGATTAGATTGTTTTGTGTGACTAAAGAAAGCACCACTTCCCAAAGCATTCTTTAATCTGCCGCATTGGTCATAATACTCTTACGAGAGTAATGAAGCCTTTGTTATTTTATTATTTATTATACTAACAATTATTATTAATATCTTCATCATTATTATTATTGGGTCAGTTTTTTCAGAAGAGGGGACGGGGGGATTGGGGTTCATTCAGACCTTTTTAAGCCTACTGAGGTGGGGCGATCGTCGGCCATTGAAGGGTGAGAGATGCGGGCCCGCATCTAGATCCGCCAACCCTAAACCTATATTCGCCACTACTTAATGAAAGGATGGGTTAACTGAGTCTTTATAGGGCAGTACCAAGCTGCACTTTTAGCTGAACATAGGCTTAAATAACCGTACTGGTGGTCCATGCACCAAAATCTGCTGTTTTACAATGTTCACTTACCCCAAGATTTACTGGTGTATCCTCCAAAAATGTATCTCCCGACCCTTATTATTGTCACAGTCGGGCCCTTGCCGTCACATCGGGAGTGAAATGTACTTGCAGCCCAGCCGTCCACGGATGCACGCCAACAGCGTTTCCACAGAGAATTGACGCTTTTTGTCACAGGTTTAAGCCAGTCGCTTAAGGAGGTCAAGTGGTTTCTGTTGTTTCCCACAATGACGGAGTTTTCAAAAGCTAAGTAAAAAAACCTTCTTTAACATGTCAAACAAATTATTATTTGGCCATGTAAAAAGTTTAAAAATTTGACATCAACTGGATTATAGATGGTTTTCACTGTGACGTCATCAAATTATAAAGTCAAAGTAGCGAGGTTTTACGAATTCTTATTTACACTAGGTTGAACATAAACAAAAGATAAATCTTTGTACAAGTTTCAAGTCCCGTATCATGTTTCATTTCGAAAATACAGCAATTTGAACTTCCGAGTTTTTACAGTGCGTGACACCAAAATAGGAATACTGTCTCGTTAAAGAAAAGTCTCTCCTCTTGATTTTCAGCAGTATAACCACTTCAAGTATTAGAAGATGTGTTTATGCGCCCGTATGCTAGTTCTCGAGTGAAAAGAAAGAGCTTTTATAGGAAAAGTGAACTCCAGATGTTTTTGTTGATTTCCGGCGGCCATATTGGTGCGCCAAAACGGTGTACCAATATGGCGTCTCCATACAATTTAGCTCTACAAAGGTACGTGAAACGTTTCGGCAAATAACTCAGAAACTGTGGGCCACAAAGACCTGAGATTTGGACCAATTGTTTATATAATAGTCTTTTATAACACTTCATTTTCTTGCCTTCTTCCACTGGATGGTTTCCAATTTAATTTTTTGTTGCGTGGCAGTGAAAACGATCTATTGTCATTTGCAGGGCTAAATTAGCAAAAAGAGTAACGTTGCAAGTGACTAAAGAAATTGAGTGCCGATTCATGTATTTGATTTGCTAATAAGAAATTTTAAGCATGAAACTCCAGTTAACACACAAGTCTTCAAATGCAAATTTATGTCGTCAGCACCTCATGCACAATGACTATATAGCTCTCATTGCTTTTATTTTGTGATATTAAATGTTTAAAAAAAAAAGCCAGTCATGGATGGGATTCGAACTAATCACCGTGCGATACAGCGGTATAGTTCTTACGTATCTAGGCTTTCGAAAAAGTGTCCATCGTCCTTTGATGAGTAAAGAATAAGATGATGATGGCGGTGATCGTGATGATGATGATGATGATGATGATAAACTTTAATTATTTATACATGGTTAAAATATTCGTATAATAATAGAATATGAATAAATTCTATAACTGTTTTACATAATTGCCGTATGGGAGCATGATCAGCAAACCGAGAGTGAATTTTCCCTCAAAGTCATCTGATCTAGAGAATTTGTTGTGCGTACGTACATCCTCGGGAAGATTGTTCCATAAGTAAGCACCACGGTAACACAAGCCACCTCAGACCGCTTTACAGTAATCAAAGCGTGGTTCTATAAGACCTTAGCATATCATAACTTCAGTGTGCATAGAAACAAATGGCTCGACTTCGCTTAAGCGCACCAATGTTTCAGGAGGCTTTTTTTGAAATGTCATGTTAGTGGGCCTTCCAAGAGAGATTATCGTCCGTAAGTCCAATAGATTTGCTATGAGTTGTTTGGTTTTACTTGGACGCCATCGTCATGTAGTCATTTAAAGATTGTAGATTGTAGTTTCTGCCCCGAGCTAATAATCATGGACTCTGTTTTGGCGACATTGAGACTTAATTTGTTAGCTTTTAGCCAGAGATCATTATGTTTCATTTAAGCATTGACCTGTAATTCGAGATCAGGTATGCTGCATGGGAGCAGAAAAGGTAACGTTCGTGTCGTCCGCGTACATTCAAGGAGAACCATTATTCAAACAGTTTGGAAGATCATTAGGTAGATCAAAAAGAGAAGGGGACCTGTTGTTGACTCTTAAGGAACAGTTAAGAGGACTCTAACTAGATAGGTAGTTACCTATGATACATCTTTGCAATGCATCTTAGATGTCTAACAAAGGTCGCAATGGTTTATGGATTAGACGGCTGGCATTAAACTGAATGTTTAATCTATTCATACCTTGTTCAATCAAGGGGATTGCTTTGGGCATTGGGCAATTACGCTTTCGGGAACCTATACTATTATTTGGCGGTCACTTAAGCAAGTCATTGCAGTGAGTTTCGTATGCTCAAATGCTCAGGGCCAATTGCGCCAATGACCAGCTCTCAAAGCAACCTTTTACTGAATTAGATATATGTGGTGCCTGCAATACAAACCTATTAAGCGACGCACTTGCACTGCCACGTTGAATCTTGTTTTCTTTGTTCCCATAGTATTAGTAGCCACGCATTCATAAAAACCGCTGTCATCAGGACTCAAGTTGTTAATGGTAAATGTGCCTTGGTTTATACTGGTCCTTCCAGCATGTAAAGGCATTGCTGCTCTAGTCCAGTTTATTTCGGGGCGAGGATATCCCTCAGCTTGACAAGTTACTTGAAAAGTAGAACCTTGTACTGGTGTGGCAATTGAGGGTGGAACTTTTGTGAAGATTGGAAGACCTGAAATAGAGCCGAAAAATAAACAGGATGCACAATAAATTAAACAGCTTATATTCCTTTCTTTTCTGGGAACCCTTTCAAGCTCCATGCTCTTAAATCCACATTTCGCTAAAAGCGTTACTGATAAACTTTGTTATAAGCAATGTTTAACTACATAGCCGAAAAGAGAGCAAAAGAAACGTATTAATTCAGAAAGATAGGTGAGGTCTGTACCAGTTGTGTAGGATATTGAAGGTCAAGACTAATTAAAGCAAATAAATTGAACCAAACTCAGAATTCATCATGTAGGAAGGTCATGCATTGAGGTAGTTTAATAAACGATCAAGAAAAAGACAAATTTGAATGAAGGAATGGAACAGTGATGGAAGGATCGTGTTGTGTGCCTTCGCGTACAGCTGTACATTGTGAAGATTGTCATCTGTTACCTTAAAATATCTTTACGTTGGCATTGCTCAGGTTAAACGTTGAACTTCAAACGTGACTAGTGGCTACGAAATACGAAAAATGGACGAATTGAAAAGAAGGAGGAGATAAAAGTACACGATTAAACAACAGAGCACAAACAGACCTACATAATCAAGCAGCCAGATAAAACAAAAGTACAGTGTTCCGCTTACCTCTAACAGTCAAGTTACTAATGGCCTCGGACGATCCGAGAATGTTTCTGGCAACACATGTGTACGGCCCTGCATCGCTGTAATTCAGATTTCTAACGATCAACTCTCCTTCTTTAATCAAGTACTTTGCACCTGACAGAAGCGTTCTACCCATAAATTGCCATTCCACGACTGGGGAAGGATTTCCTGCGACCGTGCAATAAAATGCCGTGTCTCCTCCCTCATCTCGTGTCTGCTCTGCTGGCGACAACATCACTTGTGGAGCAGATATCGATTTTCCAGGCCTTCCAGGTGGTCCCGGCATGCCTTTTAGCCCAGGCTCCCCATTGCTTCCCTTTTCTCCTCTCGGTCCTGCAGGACCAGTTATTCCTGTTTTTCCGGATTTTCCAGGAGGTCCCATGGGACCTTGAGTACCTTTCTTTCCCTTTGGTCCCCTCCTGCCACGTGGTCCCCTCGCTCCAGTGAGACCAGGATATCCGGGGGGTCCTGCAGGACATACTTTCTCACTTGACTTACAGTACTTGGTGGGCATAAGTTGTTCAAACTGTTTGCTGATTTCTTTTCTCACTTCATGTATGGTGATGCCAGATGAAGTGTTGTTCAAAACGTTTCTTCGCTGTCTTAACCGGATGGTTGCTGATGCCTCTAATGACAACGGGCTGACTGCAGTCAAGTAAGATTAAGAATTTTATAGTATCCAGTGATTAATATTAAAAAAATGTATAAGGGAGAAAACGAACGAATCAACGGAATGAATGATAAGGTTGACATTTCTAACATAAAGTTAAACGGTTTAGAGGTTGCGTTCTACAACAAGGTTAACACATTGCAACCAACTTCTTAATTTGTCCTCACGCCTCTTCCCTTGTTGCTTCTAAGGGAAAGCCAAGCTGACATTCTAGATTTTCGATCTACGCACACATTTCAAATCAACTGAGACCGTTTATTAAACGTACTTTCAATCTTGCCACCCTATCGAAGTTACCAAAGGTTTTATCAAGTACGCTGGCAGGCCCTAGACTCCTTAACCGAACTCAGTCTAGAGGCACATCTCTCAAATTTTACGCCACCCTAACAATTTTATTCAGACAGTGCTATTTGAGACCAATTTTCCACACCCGTTTTCAGACCATGCAGACCTCTAAAATCCATACCCGTTTTCACACCTGGCCTTTAGACGGAAATTGTGTCATCATTTACTTAGATTAGAGCGCAAACAAAAAAATTCTTCAAATGCATTTCGAATTCACATATTTCTATTTCGTTCTTATTCATGTGGAACTGAAACGATAACTACGCCATGCATACGCTCCAGTAGGTTCCTCGAAAACCAAACCCGATTTCAGACCAAAATGACCTACGTTTATACCCGTGTTCAGACCAAAAAGGGCCAAGAACTACACCCTTTGTGGCGGCACATAATTATATGGCTTATATAAAGGAGTACCCACCTGAGTATTGACCACATATCTTGCACGTGAGTAAGTCGTGCAACACTTAAACTATGAATTCAACATCATTTACACCGTGAGCAAGTCGTTCGACACTATTCAACATCGATCATTTACACCGTAAATTTCTTTATTGTTTTACCAGTATAGGTGGCTTAGTGAATATCTAAGCAGTATTACAACAGAGCGAGAGTGTTGCAAAAGGGTATATACAGTGTTAGTTGAAGTTCAAAATTCAATTATCTTATGCAGTATCCAAAGATACCGTATGTAAGGGCAAACTCACACTATGAAAGATTATACCTAAATCAAAAGAGGATAAACTCAGTTCTAAACGTGTATCTGCATCTAAATAACATCTGAAGTGAAGATATTACCTGATGTATAACCGATCCTTTCGGATACATGTGTCTGAACCTTCTTATAAAGATCTCTTGCTGTAGCTTCTGTCGGTGAAAGAGATATCCTGTCGGTATTTTCAGTCGAGACACTCTGAACGCAGGGGAAAAGGTTAACGCGAGATTCCAGCGCTATCAGTCGTTCGTTTGTTGTTTCGTTCTTCACCCAGAGACATCCGCAAACGAAAACTAATACAACAGAAAGAAACGATGGTCTTATTGACGGAACAAAATCAAGTAGACGACGAGACGACGGGGAGTTCGACGATTTCATTTCTGCAGCTTGCCAATCGTCCCATGCACGGAAGATGGAGGTGAGTGGGAAACTTGCCAGTAAATTTGATCCTTAAAAATTTCGCCTAGAGAAACATGTCATTAAGGCTGACGTAAAAAAAAACAAGTCTTTATAGGGACGGCAAGGGGCCACGCGCGGACCATGAAAACCTTAATGGGGGAGGTGGGAGGTGAGGTACAAAAATATAATATTCGTGCAAGGGAAAACTAAATGAATAAAATTAGAGCACTCCAAGTAACGCCAAAAAATATTCATGCTTTGGCCTAAGAAAATTAATACAAAGAAAATGCTATCGAAAAAAATTCATGCTTCTTTCCTATTGGTCTGTCCCGAATTAACTTTCTTTCTCACGCCTCGTAACAATATCATTTTCATTAGAGTGATTTCTCTTGCATATTGCGTGAACTGGACCATGGGAGATTATTTTCGCTGGCAAACACACTTTATTAAATAGTGGAAACATTTCCTTGCAAACTGGCCCGATTACCTAATTATTTACCGGCAATATATGCACATCATACGTTACAATCTTGGACAAAAAGTGTTGAGATTTTGCACTTTCGAACCGCGGATTTGGTACCAGTATGGCCCCTCCCCTCACCCACCCTGGTCAAATTTGTTTATTCGGGATCAGAAATGATTCAGCCGGGCTTCAACATTTTTTTTTTTTGGGGGGGGGGGGGGAGGGAGGAGGGAAGATTGAGTATCTGTAGTTGCCAGCGCTTTCAAGCTTTATCTTGAAACCAGACGTAGTATCGTCCATTTTTCTCAACATTTTTTTCAAGATTGTAGATGTGTTAGTACTGAGCCAGTTATACAACTATTTTGATTAAGATTCTAGTTGAACGTAACTATGTTTATCTTGTATAGTTAAGGTTAAGGGCGACAGACTTAGCCGCCCCTCTCTAAGTGCCACAAAACGCTGATATGCGGGTTAAATAACTCATTGTCCATTTTTGTTGAATTTACAATGACAGCTGCTTGACACGGTCTTTTACCAGCGCATGTCGTTTGATGGCAGTGTCTTAGATATAAGTAAGTCTTTTTTGTATTGCTTATACATACGCGCGACTTAGAGTTCCCCAAGTAGCGCACCCAGGGGGGAGGGGGGGAGAGATAACTCTATTGTTTTCAACCTAAGTTTCTTTACCCACTCTGCCTGCCAGTATGACGTTATATAGTAACGGGCAAGAACCTCGGGTCGCTTGTGCAAATTAGCAAGGGATACGACAGTTATTTGGACGAGAGAGGTTGAAGAAAAGCTAAGAAGCTAGCAAATATCGCTATATATCGCTAGTTTGATCGAATGAGTGTGCGCTTTGGTGTTGCTATATATAATCTGCTGACACAGAAATCACGGACACAAAATATCAAAACGGTTTACACAAGCAGATTATAGCAACACCAAAGCTTGCACTCATTCGATCAAATTAACGATATATAGCGATATTTGCCTGCTTCTTAGCTTTTCCTCGTATCCCTTCTGTGGGAAAAAATATGTTACGATAATTATGCAAGTCCAATCGAATTCAAAATCTCTTAGTGTTGATAAGTGAAGTTAGGACATAATTTTAAACTGCATATCAAAAATGTGTTTTGTCAAATTCCACGAAATGTCCTTGCCTTACGTACGAAAGGGCGTACGAGAACGGCTCCCCTTGTTTCCCGCCTTCCCACCCCCTCGAAACACCTGCCACGCAGGCTAAGAAAAGCTGAAAACCGTCAAACAAACAAACAAGAAAACAGAAACTAAAAATAAAGTGATCAGGTGGCATTAACTTCATGAATAAACCCTGAGTGTGTTTTTTTAGTGTTTTTTTTTTGTTGTTGTTTTGTTTCAAACTTTAAAGTTTAGTGTTTATACTGAGTTAAATAAATTAAGCTCAATTACGTTTTCTGAGACTCACCTGTACGCTGTAAGGATGTAGAGCCGTTGAGGTAGAGCCGCGAGAATCATACGAAACAACTCCTAGCTTAAAGAACTTCTCGCCCAGCCTTTGCGCGTTTAAAACGTAAGGGCACGACACGAAAAGAAATGCTGACAAGGGTTCGGCCATGTTGTTCCTTTTGTGGGCACTCACGATATTGGTTTTTACTCCAATGAAAAGCTTCTAAATATGTTGTCGTGGAGCCAGCGATTCACTAATGAAGATACCACGAAGTACCTGTAAAGCGTCAAAGCGTTAACACAGTTAACAGCCACAGAAAGACGGAGCGATGGCTTGATTTGTTGAACGAAAGACTATAATTTTGTCCATTATTATAAAAAATTGGCTCCAATTTTTCATAAACAGTTCCACAGTTTTGAAGCTGATCTAACTAGAGAGTCTTTATTTGGGAGACTACAAATACATGTAAATAGGATGATGTACCAATGCCGTGAATTACTTGCGTAAATCGTTAATTTTTTCTACTCCGGTAGCTAGACGTCTTCAAGAATTAAAATTTCTCCTGGTTATTCTAGTGGCCAGTGGTTCGGGCAGCTTTGCCAAGCGTTGCACGATAGTCATTATTGCAGTTATCTTCAAGCTTGTGGGCTTTTAAGACGACATTTCAGTGTAGTAAAATGCGATAATTTAAATCAATTTGCGCCACCTTTGCCGTTAGCGTCTTTATAGCAAGGAAATAATCAGTTTTTACTTAATCATTTATTAATTGACAATAGTCAAACTTCCCAGTAGGGTATATTTTCCCCCATTTGGTAAATAAAAAAGAATGAAGGGGGTTAATTGTATAAGGGCTTACTTTTTTGTAGATTTGAAAGCAAGTCGTCATTTCATTGCAAATTTCTACTCGAGGTACGTGTCCGTAAAATTTGATACTCCTTGAGGGAGCCCCGAATCATTTTTTTTTTTTGCTCTTTTGCTTTTCCTTTAAGTGTTCAGTTCCACTTTTTCTCCCATATGGTACCATCTAGTAAATGGAAAGTAACAAATAATGAGGTACAGTTGACTCTCTGTTAACGGACACCTCTGTAAGACGGACACTTCTGTAAAACGGACACCTAGAGTTGGTCCCTGCCTTTCTTTCCTCCCTCTATTTGACTCTCTATAAGACGGACATCCCTCTAAGACAGACAGATAGGTGTTCGTGTTAGAGAGAGTTGACTGTATTTAACAAGGATAACTAACTAAGGCGCTACGAGAAATACCGTTAACTACCGTTTATAAGCCCTGGGCTTATACAATTCTTAAGGGGTTTTAAGAGGGCTTACAGAAGAGGGGACCAATAACTAGTCTGCTACACAGCCGTTTTTAGTGCCGTCACGCAACGCTCCTCCCCACTAACTCAGGAGGAGTGTTGCGTGACGACACTAAAAAAGGCTGTGGCTGTATAGCAGACTAACCAATAACCGGCCTCAGCTGAAAAAACGTTTCAAAACAAACTACCGACACAGCAGTTCTGATCAACATAATTTTTGTAAGTTCTCGCTTTTTCGAGCTTCAAAACGTCGAAAAAAATCGTGTCATCAATTGTGTCATTTATAGACTAGCTTCCTTTTGCTTCCCTCTTCTTAGTCTTCCTAGGTATAAATTTCTTTCCGTTTTCGTCTGCCCACCACGATTAGCCAAGCTATTTTGCGAGCAGGGGCCTAGGATGTTTGTGTGTATAATATTTGTTTTAATTTCAATTAATTGAATTTATACTTATGAACAAGATATTAAATAAACTTAAACTTCAAATTCGAATTCGCTTCAATACAGGCTAGAGGGCGGGGGGGGGGGCTAATCGGGGGAAAGGAGTTTTTTTGTTACAGGTAGATGGGTCTATAACTGGAGTGAGTTGAGGGGCGGCGGGGGAGGATGGGGCTATAAATGGGAAAGCTTATAAGTGGAAGTTTACGGTATGTCTCAAAAATGACACGACCTAGTGGTTAAGTTCCCTTTTTTACGCATCAACGTGACTATAACAGTCGCAGGCACATAACACAACAAAATTTGTTGTTTTCAATTGTGGGTTTCTAAGGAACCGCAAGTCTATTGTAGATATCATGAACCCAAAATTAGAAGAAATTGCGCTTCCCTTTTCGGAAATACAAGAATGGATGTTTAAACTAAACAATCTGAATCCATGGATGTTCTTGTGCGCGCCTTGATCACACAAAACAGGTCTTCGTTTCTTTCAATGGCCGGCGACTTTAGACTTTTCGACACACATAATAGTTCTTAAAGTCGGATAATAAAATAATACCTTGTGGCCTTCCATACAAATATATAGGAGCTTAGATATCAATAGATTGAAATACCTACATTACGACTAAAAGTTTTATGATTTTTGTTAAGACAACTACTTAATATAAATAATTACAACTTATTATATATAATTAGCCTAAGTCATAAATTTACAGGACAGTAAGCGTAAAACAAGTAACCTTGTAATGTATTTTTTCTATGATTATTTACAGATTAATAAAAGACTGTAACTCAGTCTTTTTTATGGGCATGCGTCCTAAGCAGAAGAAAGTTGACACCAGCGCAAGGAAACAGGGGATTATAAAAGCCCCCTAAAACCACTGAATTAGTAAAGTCTCACAAATGAAGAAGCACGTTCGTAAACAAAGAATTAAATAAGTATGTGTAATCAAATGGAGACAAGTGAAATTAGGGAATAATTTCACGCGCGTTTTGTCCAAATCCTTATAATTTCCCGAGCCCTTAGGCGAGGGAAATTTCGGGAAATTATCAGGATTTGGACAAACGCAAGTGAAATTATTCCCTAATTTCACGAGTATACCAATTGATTACCTATTAATATCATAGGTGACAAATTACGTTAGCAATCTTGGATTTTTGACATGTTTATCCTGCATCGTATCGATCGAGAACTCCACTCTCTCGAACGTTTAGAGCTTAAATTTGGCTTACGTTCATAATTTTTCGACAAAATACTTGTCAGAATCCTTCTTGATGTGCTCCTTCGTGTGTTCAGGTTTTCTAAAGCGTCTTTTATGCCCTGGCATCTTCATTCATGACATTTTAAAACTTCGTCGCCATCTTGACACTGAGACGTACGGAAGGTTGCCATGGCAATTTTGTAATTTCACATGTGAAATTACAAATTATCGCTGAAATTTCGCACCAAAATTAAGGAGTAATTCGTCATCTATGATATTAAAGGCAATACTCAGGGGCGATATTGTCAATGTTCATTCATGATCCTGCAAACGGAGTCTTAACAACAGTATAAATAACTCTGGACAGGTCTCAAGATGTCACAAGACTCTTAAGACTAAGTTAAAGCATTGAGGTTTTCAATTGTTTTAAACAGTCCTCATCAGCAGACTGATACAAGCTTGTATGTTGTCACGTGACTTATGAGTATTTAGTCACCCGACATCAAGTGTTAAACATGCGCTGGGCAATTCGAGAGAAACTGAGTTGTTTGTACATCATTGGGCCGGAAAGCTTCAAGTAATTGCCTGGGCCATCACTAACACGCAACATGGATAGCTTAAGAATACATTGATACCTCTTCCATAGAAGGCATTGGATTTTCCGAGACGCACTTGCCTTGCTTCCCGGGAGTAAATTAATCCAGTGCGAAATATTTTATTTAATTGCACGAATTATTATACTGATCCCGGCTGAGCTTGCAGAAAGTACTGCAATCATGCATTTGTCTCTTAACCTACTACATCAGTATAACCACCTAACGTAAAGCCATACAGACATGATTCACTTTTGAAAGATAAAAAATAAATAAATGTCACGCCAACAGCAGAAAGGAAGCAATACAACGGTTTAAGGATGGTAACCAAGCACGGCTTGAGAACTATCTTCGCGCCGCTTCTCCCGACCCGACTAACAGCCCCTGGGTCTCCGAAGGTGACCTTAGCGTATAGCTGATTGTAAAGATATTTAGTACATATCTAGAAGAAGTTCTAATCTAGATTCTTTTGCAAAAGAAAAAGAGATAAGGTTGACACTGGATTGAGCGCCTCAGCTAGGTCAAGATAAATCATATCCTTATTGTTATATCGTTATTAATATATGACATGCGTAGTTTTCGCACGCACAACGTCCTCTACATGAAATCCCTTTTGTACGATCCAGAGTCCCTCAAGTCATGCTGAAGGACCTGATGCCGTTCATTCTCTTGCACAGTAGCGATACCTCCCTTCAGGTGACGGGTTTAACTCATACACATAAAACACTTGACACTCCCTCACGCGTATCCTATAACAAAAGTTTTCCCATCCGTGGAAGCAAGCTTCCCTGTCCACGATCCCATCTTTAAAGGTAGGGTGGCCACCTTTTAGCCACCCAGTTATATCTGTTTTGCATCTGTGGACCTGAATACAATTGTCTACCATTCTTGAGTATGAACTTGATTGGAAGCGATACCAGCCGGGGACAAGATTGCCGTCTGAGTTAGTGCCTCGGCCAAAAGACTGGTGTCGATTAGGTTGACTGAGGACGTTATAGTCCCGGCCCTCTGGTGCATCTGAATTAACAAAAAAGCAAAAGAGTTCGGCTATTTGGTATTCGCATATAACACAAAGCCGAGGTGAACAGCTCTAACTAGAAGCTTGGGTATCTAACAATTTGAGCTGGTTGTTAGTTGTTGTTGTTGTAAATCACTCATTCCTCATTAAGTGGGTAAAATGTGCCAAGGATTTTCAAAAAATCGAAGGTCAACAAATCAGACAAGTAGTTAGTTTAACCGAAAGATGTATCATTGAAGGGTGAGAAACCAAAATTTGTTCAACATATCTTTTACCTATAAAAAGTTATAGCCTGTTATTTAATAGCATGTAGTGTGATATTTTGTATGGCTTGAAACAGCACAGTGTTGCATTGTATCTATGTTTTTTTTTTCAATTTAGCGTATACTCTAAAATGTTTAAAATGAAATCTGTGGCAGGCTAAGGTCTGAGTTTTACATTTTAGTCAAGTCAGTGACTCAAGGAATGAAAAAGTCAAGTTGTTCTGCCATGGTGTACTTTGGTCTGACGTAACAAAATATTGAGAATTTAAAATTGCTGTGTTTTTTTTAATGTTTTTTCTTTAAAAAAGCTTTCAGACTAAACATTATTTTGCTAAATGTGAAGGAAAGAAAGTGTTTTTTACCTTTATTATAGTTTGGAAACATGTGATCTAGTAGAAAAGGAGTGATTATCAAGTAAATTTCGGTAACGGAAGTTACAGAAGGAAGGTAATATTTCATTTCTCTTCCAACTACTTACTTCTGGGATTACAGACCATCTTAAATAACAATGCATATGACTTATTCTGTTGAATTGAATTAATGCTAAACAATTTTGGATGAAATTTTGGAATTTTTGGGTGGAACGAGGCTAAAAACAACAAAAATGAGCAAAATAAATTGAATTGAAAGGAAAAAAAATTAATAGATACATGGTAATCTGTTAGAATTCGTACAAGAATTGTAATACATGAATATTGCAAAGTCCATTCACAGAAAAGAGGGTTGAACTAGCGAAAACAGCTTAAGATAATCCACTTCCTGTTTTGTGTAACCTCCGTTACTTAAAAAAAAAAAAATTAAAATGATCAAGAAGCCTGTCCCATTTTCATCTTATATTCCTAAATTGCCTAGAAATACTTCAAAGGAAAATAAACTTCTTTAAACTATGCAAAGAAACTCCGCGAACCATAAACTCAGCTAAAATTCCCTTATCATACTTGACAGAGACGTATCTCACCAATGGAACACGTATGGGGGTGTACTTATGACAAAATCTTTACCAGATGTCATCAAGGCTTGCGTTGTTTGATGGGGCAATCGTGTGACAGCATTTCCCGAAACTTACCTGACGTTTATCCCATGTTTCAGAGACCGGACAAATTCTTGGTAACGGAAGTTAAAATTCTACCTTTTCTGTTAAATCTTTAAGTGAAATTAATAACTCGGAAAAACCAAACATACTCCATAATGATCCTCACTAGCTCCTCCGTCACCACAAAAATCAGCACAAACCACTTTTCATTTTTTCCTACTGTAATCTTAGTAACGGAAGTTACAACCTTAACTGTTCACCCTAAATCCTGCTATTGTGAGATGCAATTTCTTTCCTTAGGCTTTTGCTCTTCATTTTATGTATTGCGTATCAAAAAGAGCAAACTTAAGTAATATTTACCCGATGTAAATCATTCGCAATATTTATTTCTAGGCCATTTGTGATCTGCCCTCAGATCGGTAACGGAAGTTTCATAAAAATAGTGGACACCAGTTCACTGTAGTTAAAAGCAACAAAACTGAACTGCAGTGAGAAATGATCATGTAGGACTTTAGTTTAGGTCCCCCCCGAGACATTGGATTGATTAGTTTCCATAGTAGCAGGCGACAAGTATACAAATATACCGTAACCTTCTATACCAACCCTCCATGCGGACATAGCAAAATGGCATTTTTTGGACACTTTTGGCCTTGATTATTCCCTCAAAGTTACTGTCTACAGGAGCACAAAGGGGTACTGTCGCTATTTGTTTGGGCATATTTTAATTATTTTTCAGCGAAATGATTATGGAAAAACAATTTGGGTCCTCAAAACTTGCCATGGCCACCAAAAAATGGTAATTTACTCACTTAACGTGGAATGAGTGAAATATATCTTAATAGCTTGTTCATATCTCGAAATAACCTGTTCCAGGCTCCGAGATCTGAGAGCCTGACACAGGCTGATCTCGAAAAGGTGCTTTTGTTCACTTAAAGTAATTCTACGTTAACTTACAGATTTCACACTCATCGCCAAAATATCCAGGAAGACAAGTGCAACTATGCGTTCCATCTCGGAACGAAATCAGGGAGCACATCCCATTGTTCATACAAGGAACATTAGTACAAGGATTATGGAGGAAAAAAATCATTAAAAATAACATTAAAACACAATGATTATGATTATAATGGAAACAAACGTTCTATACTTCCTCATTATCAATGCTACCTCTTTAATCCGGCGAGCCTGTCAATACAACCAACAACCTTGACTGTTAGTAGTTTCCAGTGGCGTTATATTGAGGTAGAGAGAATCGTGAAAAACAAATCGCTAATAGCTGTATAAACTTTTCCCCGATCCCGTGTGCGTTTAAAACGTAAATGCAAGACACGAAAAGAAATGCCGATACACCGTATTCACAAATGGCGGACACGCGGGAAAAAACTGGTGCCTAGTCATGAACGCGAGGCGTTGGAGGATAAACAAAAATTGCAAATGAAGACTTTCAGTGAACTTGCAGAGTGTTTAGCACGGATTCCACCTAAAATAACTTTGTATGGACGTCTTTTTAAATACAATGACGGGGGACGTCTTCTGCAGTTTAATGTTTAGTACTGATTTGCTGTTTGCAATCAAAAGGGACGCGTATATCTTCAAGGAAACAGGATGATTTTGTAGGTTGCCGAAGCCTCAGAAGCTCGACAAGTGGGTGATGGCTGGAGAAAAGCGGCAAACATGTTGGCCCAGACTTCACGCTGAAACCGAATACGAAAGCCAGCTCACTGCAATTCTGTAAAACAGAAGTAAAAACAGATATTGGTGGCAAGAAAAAAAGAAATAAGTGACGGATATATGGCCTACTTGTCAACGGGAGAGACCTCCGCCACTACTCAAAACAGGTCAAGTCGAGAGCGGGTGAAAGATTCATTCACGAGACTCGTTCATTCATGTCAGTGTCATTTTACACATATCTATGTATGTTTATATTTACAACTTCCTTTGGATGATATTAATTCCGTCGCTTTGGAGTGAATTGTTAGAGGTACGTCGGCAGAGCTTAGCAAATTCATTGCAAATTTAAAATCTTTTGATTTCTTTGTCATTGCGAAATAAAATAGTTTTATCAAAACTAGAAGCTCTAGTGTGTGAATCTTGTGGCTTGCTATTTGCCTGGTCTCCTTTACGGCATTATCTCGGAGAGCTCTTGGTAAAAAAGTGGTATAAAGCTCACATTTTACTAGGTTAAACTTTTAAGGCAATGTATGTGTCAGGACTGAACACGGCAAGCTTCTGTTTCGAATCATTAAATGCGAGTCTGGATCCGTTTAAGAAGACCATCATTTTATTTATTTATGTATTCGTCACTTTTAAAATATTATGGAACGTGAAGTTAAAACTCTAAATTACTCGCTGAAATGAAATGTGGCCGGCTTACCGAGTCTGCCGAGTAACAAGTTGCGATTTTGAGCGTACTCCACTCGATCGCTCCTGCATTTATACCAAAAAGATAGTTCTAATTGATGTTCTTCATCGATAAAGACCAGAGAATAACGTCCTGGCAAGTAAACACCAAACATAACTTCATCGAAACCTCAGTCACTGCTTCTTTCCTGTCCTCCTTTTTTCCATCTCGATTTGAACTGTTTTGTTCAATGGCACACGTCTCTTGCGTTATATCCATCGCTTATTTCTCTTTTTCTTGCCACCAAGATTTGCATTGTTTATATTTCTGTTTTACCGAATTGCAGTGAGCTGGCTTTCGAACATTAAAAGCAGAAGACATCCCACGTAATTGTATTTAAAAAGAAGTTTTAGGTGGAATCCGTGCTAAACACTCTTCAAGTTCACTGAAAGTCTTCATTTGCAATTTTTGTTTACCGTCCAACGCCTCGCTTTCATGACTAGGCACCAGTTTTTTCCCGCGTGTCCGCCATTTGTGAATACGGTGTATAAGAGTTTCATATCTTTTCTTCTTTGCTCTGCACTCATGATTTTGTTGATTTTGATTTCAGTGAAAGCAGCTCTCAGTGTTTCCAAGCTTGGAGTAAATTTAAGTAAGCACACAACCACCAAGTTCGTATTACCTCTGTCATATGCATACTGCAGAATGAAAAGTTGCTTTGTCGGTTGAAGGCCTGATTAGTACGTTAGTTAATTAGCTGCTTGATATAAACAGTTCTTTATTTTAGGCTGCATGATCTGACGATGGAGTCTTAATTTCTGCGACCACAATTACATATTAAATTAAGCAGAATGATGTAACATTGCAATAATACTTCACACTTACGTATATCAAGAGAATTACGTGGACTCTGTAGAAGTCTTAAAGGAAGTAATTCTCCGCTTTTCTAAAGTGGACGGTAGCGTATTTCGGGCACTGACCTGCTAAGAGATATACTGACAGTACAATATTCAGTAACCTTAATCTTGAATTACAGCAAAGCGGTATTTTCTGTGGGCTTCTTATGCTAGTATCTCTCTGAAGAGCTAGAGAAAATTCAGCGCCGTGCACTTAGAATTATTTTCCCAGATTTAGGCTATCAAGAGGCTCTCAAAGAGTGCAATATTACCACTCTCCATCAACGGCGCCAATGGCTGACAGAGCGCCTATTCAATGAGATTAAGGACAACAGCCTCCACAAATTACATGGCCTTTTGCCGCCACGTAATCTTAGTACTGTAGCCTTAAGGAGAAAGCGCGCTTTTAACGTGCCTCTTTGTAGAACAAATAGACTAATGAATAGTTTTATCATGCATAACGCTGCTATTTTCTAATGGTTTTATTGTAAATTCGCGGCTATTTTCTTAAATTTCATGACGTAGTATCTTTGTTCCTTTGTTTTATTTATTTACTGTTATTGATTTATAATAGTTAGTCTTAGTATTCAACGTATTGCACAGTCCGTAATCCAGCCCTTGGGCTGCAATCTATCTATCTATCTATCTATCTATCTATCTATCTATCTATCTATCTATCTATCTATCTATCTATCTATCTATCTATCTATCTATCTATCTATCTATCTATCTATCTATCTATCTATCTATCTATCTATCTATCTATCTATCTATCTATCTATCTATCTATCTATCTATCTATCTATCTATCTATCTATCTATCTATCTATCTATCTATCTATCTATCTATCTATCTATCTATCTATCTATCTATCTATCTATCTATCTATCTATCTATCTATCTATCTATCTATCTATCTATCTATCTATCTATCTATCTATCTATCTATCTATCTATCTATCTATCTATCTATCTATCTATCTATCTATCTATCTATCTATCTATCTATCTATCTATCTATCTATCTATCTATCTATCTATCTATCTATCTATCTATCTATCTATCTATCTATCTATCTATCTATCTATCTATCTATCTATCTATCTATCTATCTATCTATCTATCTATCTATCTATCTATCTATCTATCTATCTATCTATCTATCTATCTATCTATCTATCTATCTATCTATCTATCTATCTATCTATCTATCTATCTATCTATCTATCTATCTATCTATCTATCTATCTATCTATCTATCTATCTATCTATCTATCTATCTATCTATCTATCTATCTATCTATCTATCTATCTATCTATCTATCTATCTATCTATCTATCTATCTATCTATCTATCTATCTATCTATCTATCTATCTATCTATCTATCTATCTATCTATCTATCTATCTATCTATCTATCTATCTATCTATCTATCTATCTATCTATCTATCTATCTATCTATCTATCTATCTATCTATCTATCTATCTATCTATCTATCTATCTATCTATCTATCTATCTATCTATCTATCTATCTATCTATCTATCTATCTATCTATCTATCTATCTATCTATCTATCTATCTATCTATCTATCTATCTATCTATCTATCTATCTATCTATCTATCTATCTATCTATCTATCTATCTATCTATCTATCTATCTATCTATCTATCTATCTATCTATCTATCTATCTATCTATCTATCTATCTATCTATCTATCTATCTATCTATCTATCTATCTATCTATCTATCTATCTATCTATCTATCTATCTATCTATCTATCTATCTATCTATCTATCTATCTATCTATCTATCTATCTATCTATCTATCTATCTATCTATCTATCTATCTATCTATCTATCTATCTATCTCTATGGGAGTGAGTAATCAGTTGCCGAGGCTTTTGCGGTATTGTGGAGTCTTAAGAAGGTTGTTTTTCCGGTACGGGCTGAATATACTCCACACTAGAAACTAAGTACACACCCGCATAAAAACCCGTGAATTTTATGAGGATGTCTACTTTATTCCGCTGCTCTGAAAGAAGGTTAACTTCCTAGCACGTAATAATTCCTGTAACCACTCCAGGGAGTTGGAACACCTGCTCCACTAAGTCGGGGTTGACGCTCTTCTGGATTTTCGAATATCTAAAAAATGGTATAATTGCTCATTTTTAAAGGCTTTTTACCCTAAAAAGGTCACCTAGAATTTTCGGGAGCCTTTTTTCTGGCTGAAATTTTCGAAAAGGTACTGGTTTGATCCCTATAATTTTCGGATCACTAGACTTTCAGCTAGGAAATTCGAACAGATGAAAAATTTTTAGGGGATTAAGATATGCCTATATCTACCGTTTAAATACTAAAATACGTTCAACAATGCTATGTTTAAGTTGTTTTGAACTATGTTCTCGTTGGGTGCCACTGCCCAATGATAAATTGTAAAAATGAACAAGATCTAGAAGGAACGAAAGAGTGATGGGGATGACTTTTCCGGATAAAGGTAGCTTATAAAGGAACAAGAATCGAACCTTTTAAAGACCTTCGCACGAATTTCAAGCCAGCTGAGGTCTTGAACACACCTACTTTCAATCGCTCTTGTAATCCCATAAGGGTTAAGCAAGGTTTTTCAAATTAGACTGAACTCCTTTGAAAGAAACGGAAATATGTCCATGAATAATCTCTTAATACACGCCCATTCTCTATACTGATCTATACTCTCTATACTATTCGAAAATGTATCCAGAAAGTGCGAAAAGAAAATAGCTCAATCTAAAGCAAACAGATAAATCTAAAAATAAATTGCCAATAATTGGGTCATTATTGCTTGAAATTGGTCACGCAATACCTTTCAATTTCGAGACCCCAGATAACCTCAAACCAGAAGCACATGCAGCCCCCACTTAAAGAAATGTTTAAGGAACCTCATCTAATGTCGTCTAGCTAAAAATCCTAAAAAGACAATCTTGTTGAAAAGCTGTATAGTAATGATATCGACTATTTGGGGCGTGAAGGAATCTTGTTCTGCCCTTGTAGACACATTATTTATGAATTCAACTTCATTTACGCTGTAAATATCTTCAGTTTTTTATCAGTGGCAGTGGCATAATTACTGACATCTAGGGAGCATTACAAAACAGTTTCATACAGTCTAAGTTAAAATCTGATACTATTTTGGAATTGCAAAAGATCCCGCGTTGTTAACGCGAACTCACGTCATGAAAGGTTATGTCTTAACCGAGGGAGGATAAAAGCAGGTCTAAACATCCTCAATGTACTCAAGGCCATCCAAGTAAGCAGAGTAAAAATAAATTTTACCTGAGCTATAGCCATTCCCATCATCTGAAACTTGTGTCTGCATCTTCTTGGAAAGGTCTATTGCGATATCTTTTGTCGGTGAGAAAGTCATCCTGTCAAGATTATCAATCTTGCCACGCTTAGTGCAAGGAACACAGTAAATACGAGATTCCAGTGAAATCAGTCGTTCGTTCGTTGCTTCATTTTTCACCCAGAGACATCCACAAACTAAAACTAATACCACCGAAAGGAACGATGGTCTAATTGACGGAACAAACTCAAGGACTCGTTGAGATTTTGAAGAGTTTACGGTTTTCATTTTTGTAGTTTTACGATCGTTTTCTTTCACAGCCACTCGAAGACGGGAGTTTGAAGGAAAGTTGAAAGTTATATAAACCTGATCCGCTTCTGAGTTAGCCCAGAAAAACAAGAGTGTTGGCTTACATTAGATTGATGTAAGCTGTAACTTTTTTCTTGTTGCACTCAAACGTGGTCAAAGTTCTAAAACTTTCCGTATTCTAAAATAATTGCAGAAATCAAACATCACGTTTACAGGAAAGGTAAGAGGTTGACCAGGTGACCATTGGCTTTATTCTTCATTCTTGATAACGTGGAGAGAATAAAGTTTCTCTTTTTGTAGCAAACATTCGAGCATGAGTAATTTATTTAATTCAATTCTTGTTTTCTGTCACAGTCACTCCAAGCTTGAGGGAAAGTTGCAAGTTAAACCTGATCCCTTCTCCTTAAGCCCATAAAAGCAAGTATAGTAAATTAGCTTACATTAGATTGACGTGAGCCGGGCTGCTCTACCGGTTGTTAACCATCCTCCTGTTGCACTCAAACGTGGTCAAAGTTCCAACAGATACCATATTTTCAATTATTGCTGAAATCAAACATCACGTTTACAGGAAAGAAAACAAGTTTGACCACGTGACCATTAACCCTCATTATTGATAACGTTGAGAAAATGAAGCTCTCTTTTTATGACAAACATGAGTGATTTTATTGAATTTTAATTCTTGTCTGTACATTAACAATTAATACTAGCCCGTAAACGTGATCTTTTATCTATTTATTATCAGTAGAAATTTCCTATAAGGGTATATTTTATTTATAATATTTTATATAATAGGTCAGTCATAAAGGATACTGATGTGCCTCAGATTTTATACGTAGGGCTTACATGAGGTAGTAACTTAACGCTGGTAACTTTAATTACTACACTGCTAGAAGGTGATCGTCACGTGACTACAAGCAGTCTATTCCTGTATATGAGATAGTGTTGCCGCACTAAGCAATTAGTAATCTTAATCTTTGATTACTAATATTAGTAGTATCGCATTGGGCAACAAAGCAGTGAGGACAGCCTGGTTCAATAAAATATCACTATATTGCTTTTTTTTTTTCAACTTTGTTTACTCGAAAACTGAGATTTCTTTGCCCTCGTGATAAGGAAGTAACTGTTTTCTGACAAATGACAGTATAGCTGCCCCCAGACTCGTATCCATATGAAAAAAGATCAGCGCAGTTGGACCAGTTTTAGATATCAAAATCATTTCTCTTTTTGACAATTCTTTTTTTCCTTTATTTGTAAAATGTTGTCGTATACGTTCTAATGATTGTGTTCTTATTTAGATATAAGGAGCTTGCTTAAGCGTTGTTTGAGTCAACTGACCTTTACACCAATAAACGATGGAGAAGAGTCCAGCATTTGGCCAATGAATTTTGGACCCGCTGGAGGAAGGAGGTCCTCCTAAGCCTTCAACAACGCAACAAGTGGAAGGAGCCTCGAAGGAACCTAGCAGTTAACGACGTCGTGATTGTCAAGGATGTCACCCTGCCAAGGAACTGTTGGCAACTCGCTCGTGTCAGCAGGGTCGACATTGAGAAGGATGGTTATGTACGCAAAGTCCAGGTTGTCCTGGGAGATCGCCATCGCAGTACCGATAGAAAGAAGATTGGGCCAATCAAGTACCTAGAGCGTCCAATCCACAAGCTAATCCTTTTGATTCCCCGTGATGATCAAGCAGAATGAAGACCGAGGGTAGATCCCCGACGAGGAGCCTTAATTGAACTTCGATTGAAATGTGTTTTAAGTTAATCTCCTTGAATTTACGTTGCAAGATTATTGGTTTTGTGAAATATTCTATTTCAGGGGAGCCATGTGAAGTTCCTCATTTAGTTTTCATTATTTTTAGTTTCATTTCATTTCTAGTGTTTCATTTACGTCATTGCTTTGTTTCTAATACTCCCCCTAGATAGCTCTTATTTCAGTCGATTGCATATTTCTCGCATGATACAGTAGAAGAATAGGTTTTTGTGTCATTTAGTTTCGTTTCGTTATTTGGACGTTTACTGTGTGGGTCAGATATGTAAGTAATCATTTTCGTTTCCTTTCGTAGATATTTTTGTTGATTTAGTCTTTAGGTTATTGATTTAGTACTTTTTTTGTCCCCTCGTGGGCATACATGTGTACATTTCGTAACAATTTCGCATATTTCGTTATTTACTACAGTATGGATATTTCAGTTACCTTTCTACTAATTTTATCGTCATCGAAAGTCAATATATAAAGCGTTTTATTTAGGTTAACAGATGTATTTGTTAAGTGTTTTCCATGCAACAATAAGATTCTTCATGTGCGGGGTTCCGCCCCCAAAATGCACAAGCTTGTACTTTGTCATTAAGCCTTTCGTACACAATTATGTTTTATCGTCTTTTGTTTCGATCGCTACTCGTTTATATTTTGATTTCCCCTATAAGTTAGTTCATTTAGTTGGTGGGAAATAAAATCAGGTTGATTACATCACACCATTTCATCGCCTGCAAGTTTTTGTTCTCCGTATTTAAATATCCCCGATCAGTTAGCGACACGTTTGATTTGATAGTAAAGAACATGACCGTCGCTTCGCTGCAACAAGCGTCTACTTGTACAATCAGCTCAGCTCAAATATCAAAGCCGGTGTCACGAATTATATTAATTAGGTTGTTTCGTAAAAGGTTTCAACTTCGTCTGTTGTGAATCTGTATGTTCCTGCCAGGAATGTTCGTGCGAAGGTGCTGGTGACGCTGTATCCGCTCGGTGGGCTGTAAGTCCAGCCAAGGTTGCTGTGAGAATTGCTATTAGATGACGCGCAGTTGGAAATGTGAATGTTATGTCCCCCTCCGAATGTAGGCCCATAGGATGAGCGAAAGAATGTGGAATATTTTCTATAACTATATTGCCCTGACTGAGACAATTTGACAGGCGCCCATCCTGGTTTGTTTACCAGCGAAAATAAGAAGGCTTTTGAGTCGTATTGATACCGGCCAGAACCAGAAGCTAAAAGAAATGAAACAAAACTTTTCTAAGATAAGTTTGCGACATCGTCTTTGTGCCTGTCATAATGATGACGATGATGATGATGATTATTATTAATTAAAGACTATAAATACTTATTCTCATAAAACAAATTTGATCGAGTGTTTTTTCTTAGCCGAAATGTGCCAATTTTTTTTTTTGCACCAAAAACTTGTGTTGAAGTACGTTGGTCGTTACTTTTGCAATATGGGAATTGAAGGATGGAAGATAGCAGGGTGGCAAGAAAGTCAGAACAATATCGATATTTTATAAACTCAAAATTATTATTATTATAGTATTAGCCTGGAATTTGGGCACGTTTTGACAAGCTAGAAATGTATCACTTATCAGCTGCAGAACAAGAACTCTAGAGAAGGGGGAGGGGGGGGGGCGCTCATTCACACCATGTGAGTGTAGGAGGGGTGGTCCTCCCCCCTTGAGGAACGAGGGGATATGGGCCCACATCTAGAGCTATTAACCTGGAACCTTTGTCCTCCACTGCTTAACCATGTATGAAAGGTAGAGCCCAGCCGTCCACGGATGCACGCCAACAGCGTTTCCAGAGAGAATTAAGGCTTTTTGCCACAGGTGTTAGCCATTTGTTTAACGAGGTTAAGTAATTATTGTTGCTTCCCACAATAACGGAGTTGTGCAAAATCTACTTCTTTTTTTTTTTTTTTGCTAAAGATCAGTGTTATGGCCAAGAATATAATAGAAATGTTTAAAAACTCTTCAACAGTTCATTCCCTTGCCAAGTGTAACGGCATTCAAGTGACGAGAGACTGGATATCAAGTGCCACTTTATTTTCTGGCGAGGAAATGCTTAGTATTTCAAATTTAAACTCTAGTGAAGGCTCCCCTCTCCTTTTCCCTTTAAGATCATGATACTCACAGGTCAACCTATAACAATGACACGCTTTTTATAACAATATGAAAGACCATCACTGTCAGTCCTATACAAATTTAACTTAAGAAGTCTGAGTGATGTTGTGATTATGTCCTAACATATTTGTCTTGAACTGGATATACGAACCTCCTTAAAGCCCCTTCAATCTCTACAATCTGTAACCATGGTCTCCATTAAGGATTATGTTACATGTCACTAAATGTTCCATTTATGTCTGTACAGACCTTCCATTGGCGGATCTAGGGGAGGGTGCAGGGAGTGCGCACCGCACAGGTGGCCTGCGACTTTCTAATACAACTGGCCGTATTCTGCCAAAAAAAAAAAAAGACTATGGGGTTTATTGGTTTTGAAGTAAAGCATGAAGCGAGGCTGAAGCATTTATGTTAAACGCCGTAAAAATTGTAGTTTAGCACTGAAAAATCCTTGTAATAGGCCCCTGGTTTACGTCACCCCACCTCAGAAAAATCCTGGATCCGCCCCTGCTGCCTTGCCGCCTAGGACAAACCTGTAGCTGAGCTGCGTTGTACTACCACAATGATCCTGGCCTTCTTCGTTCCAATGATGTTTGTTGCCACACATTCGTACAAACCGTTGTCAGCCGGAAGTAGGTTCTTAATGGTTAATGTACCCCTGTTTACCTCACAGTTTCGCTGTGTGAGCTGTCGTGCGAAAAGTAGCTTACTTTTCGCACGCCAGCTCACACAGTGAAAATGTAGCCTCTGCTCGCAGGGTAACTATGAAGTTAAATTGCATGTTAAAAGCGCTTCGTTTTCTACAGATAACAGCCGAACATCAAGACTGTCCATTTTTTACCGTATTTCTAACCATAAAAACTTTATTCCAAAATATCTCGATAACGCTCTTGCAGATTTCAGTCAAACTGTCTATTCAGTGTATTCGAGCCTAACAACCACATGCTCTATATAGTGTAACCATGTATTACGTTCTCTAACATTTCGTAGCCTCTTTTCATACGGCTGCTAAGAGATTTTACTTACAAGGTTACTGGGACAATCCAGTTTAGAGATTATTTAGTTATTTTTAGTGATCATCAGATAATGCATAAGAAGACACAACAAGCTCATTACTTAAACATAAAAACCGGTTGTAGCTCATTATAATTATTTAAGTTGTTTCGTAAAACGTTTCTATTTCGTCTGGTGTGAAAGTGTAAGTTCCTGCCAGGAATGTTTGGGTAAAGGTGCTGCCGTAGCTGTACTCGCTCGGTGGGCTGTACTCATGGCCAAGGTTGGTATTTGAATTGCGATTGGATGACGCGTAGTTTGATATGTAAATGTCATGTCCTGCTCCGAATGTAGGCCCATATGATGGGTTATTGTATATGGAATATTGCCTTCTGGAGCTATATTTCCCTGCCTGAGGCAGCTTGACGGGTGCCCATCCTGGCTTGTTTACAAGTGAGAATAAAAAGGCGTTTGAGTCGTACCGATTTCCAGAGCGAGAACCTACAAGAAAATAGAGATGGAATAAAAGTGCCATTTGGGATATTTTCCTGATACTCACTTGCAAAAGAAGAGACCCGTCACATGCAGTGACACACAAGTTAAATGTTCGTGAATATTTTATACCTTCCTTCACATAAATATATGTATGTTTTGTAGGCAACTCCAGACACATCAAAAAAAAAAAAGTGAGCGCGCGATCCAGTACTGTCGTTTTGCCAGCCCAGTACTAAAGTTCCCAATAACTCATGAAGTGTGTCGAGGGTTTCATTCCTATCTGCAAAAGACTTTTTTTGGTTCTTCTCTCAACATATATCATTCCACTACCGTGATTAACAATGTAAATAAACAAAACAAAAAAAAAACACGCGTTCGGCCAATTTGAAATACACGGTCGATTACCCGCTGAACTGAAATCCACTAATGATCAATCACATTACCCTGCTTACATCTATACCCTCGACAAGAATAACTCCAAACACATCCAATTAAAACGAAAAAATGTAAATCACTGGGTCGCCTAGTAATATATAATTAGTGGAACAAAATTTACAGATACTAAGTGCTTTATAAATTATTGATAAAATAACCATGAGAATGTGTATATTTTGTGTTTATCACTCAGTGTTTCATTTTATTGCTTACAATAAAACCTCCCAAAAGCAGCCAATTTTTGAACGGGAGGTTATAACAATCGGGGTCCTGAAACCTAAGAGACTGTTCGCTTACCGGAGCAAAGGTTTCCGTCTATGGGAGCTGGTTAAAAGCAAAAATTTGCAATTACAAAGCAATAGATTCGAGCAAAAAATATTTGAAAAATAATAAATAAAACGTCGGGTAATTAATATTTCCTTTTGTAACTTATATAGAGCAAATGTACGGTGGCCCGTAAGGGACATTAGAATTTTTTTTTTTGCTTAAGTTATCGCGCGATAAGTTAAAATTATCGCGCGATAAAATGAACAGTTATCGCGCGATAAATAAGAAAATTATCGCGCGATAATTAGTCAGTTTATCGCGCGATAAATTTGCAACATATCACATGATAAAGAGAAGCCTGACTCACGCTTTCCACCCACGTGTTTATAGCCTTTAATTCTCAGAGTTTAGCTTTTACAAGTGTATCTTTGAGAGACCTTCCTCGTTTGTACGATATAATTGGAGGTTCTTTGTAGATCTGTCTAAGAAGAGGTTGGTTCTCTATCAGTTGCCAGTGTTTCATAAGAATGTTTTTAAGGCTCTGAAGGCTAGCAACTCAAATTTCAAAAAACGCTTGAATGACAGACGCTACCCACAAACTATGACAGAGAACCTTCTATCAGATATAAAGTTCACAGAGAGGGTGTCTGCACTCCTGAAACACAACAACAAAGAGGAAAAAGAAATATTGCCTTTCGTGACACAGTACCAGCCCTCAGTGTCTACTTTAAAAGAAGCTTTAATGAAAAACTGGAATCTTATACAAAACCAACCGTTACTTCGCCAAATTTTTAAAGAACCACCTATCATTTCCCACAAGAAAGGAAAATCCCTAAAGGACATGCTCGTTACAGCTAAAATATAAAAGGTTAACACAAGGTTTCACGCCGGTATGGATGTGCGGCCTGTCACCGCTTGCATTTTCGTATGTTAACCTTTAATTATTGCGCATGCTAATCCGCCGAAGAAATCAGTCCTTTTCTGTAAATACATAGCAAGAACATAACCTTTATTCACTTCACTTAACTAAAGGGACCACTGTTGGACAATGAAATACTTTAAACTTGAAGCTAAGAAGTAACCTGGCTTGATTCTCACTGTATAGTTTTGAAACGAGAGATAATTGATTACATATAAATAGCAATTGTAAATCTTATAATTACTCCCCTTTTCCTTCAGGATTAAAATGCTGTAATCCTTGCTTGGAAATCTAGCTTGGCAACTCAAATGAACCCTATTAAGCTGGGTCAAAAGTTAGACTATAACTCCTTCTTAGTATGATAAAGAAAGGGTCAACATTAAGATAATGCATGCATACATGCATGCAACGTTCCAGCTTCTCTTTTTCATGTGATATGTTGCAATTTATCGCGCGATAAACTGACTAATTATCGCGCGATAACTTAAGGGAAAAAAAAGATATTGTAATGTCCCTTACGGGCAACCGTACAAATCTGTTAAAATCATGATAAAATGATCTGTTGCTGGCCCTGGTTGTTCAAACGTTCAGGGATAGCGCTATCCACCGGATAAATCACTATCCAGCGGATAAGTATTACGAAAATCAATTACGCTATCCGCTGGATAGTGATTTATCCGGTGGATAACGCTATCCGACGTTTGAACAACAGGGGCCTGTTGTTTTTTGCCACATTTGCTAATTCCTTGTGAGTCAAGCCAAGGAGGGGGTTCCTCGGTTTTAGAGGGGCGAGGGGGTGCGCGTCCGAATGTAGATCCGCCAACCTGAATCCTTATCGGCTACTGCTTAACCATGCAAGGTCAAACTGACTCCATGTTGCTCAGTACAAAGCCATCAAGATGCACTTTTAGCCGAACATATCCATGCAAGTAACTGTAACGGTAAGGTAACCGCCTCTTACAATGCGCACTTACCCCAAGACTTACTAGTGTATCCTCCAAAAATGTATCTCCCGACCCTTATTATTGTCACAGTCGGGCCCTTGCCGTCACATTGGGAGTGAAATGTACTTCCAGCCCAGCCGTCCACGGATGCACGCCAACAGCGCTTCCAGAGAGAATTCACGCTTTTTGTGACAGGTGCAAGCCAGTTGCTTAACGAGGTCAAGTGATTTTTGTTGTTTCCCACAATAACAGAGTCGTGCAAACCTGGGAAATAAATTTGACTTTTATTATTTGACAAAAGAACCCTGTTGTAGCCAAGTAGAACTGTTTAAAAATTCGGCATCAAATGAATTCTTTATCAAGTGTAACATTGCAAGTGACTAGAGACTGGATGACAAACGTCACTTTGTCTTCTGGAAAGCAAATTTTAGGATTTATACTTTAACTCGCGTAAGGGCTTTCCTCTTTCTTTCCGTTTAAACAGTTGCAACACAAGCATATTCAGCCTTTAACAACGATACTGCTTTTTAGCAATAAATAAAAGGCCGTCACTAATAGCCTCCCACGCAGACGTTCTTAGGGGTTCGTCACGCGTTCCTGCCCACTTAAGTCTACTGACTCGAGCGGTAATAAACGTAAACCAATTACAGCACACTTCCAGATCTGGGAAGTGCACTTTGGACCTTGAGAAATTACTTGCGAGACTCAGCTCGAGAAAGGATCAGAGAGGTCTCGAAAGGTGAACACCTTATACTTTTAGAACAAATTAGTCAGTTAACTCACACGCCTTCGTACTAGGGACTCCTTTCGTTTCATCGAAAAAATTACCTCGGAGGTTTAATTCCCCGAAAGAGAAGTCGGCTTTACTACAAAACAATAAAGTGGGAAAATAAATTTTGCCTTTTGTCGAGTTACAACGTACAACCCCGCCTTTGCCTCACCCACATAACAATTTCATGAGCAAATGACATCTAATACAGCCTTTACAAAGAGAAATATACAAAACTCCAACGCTTATCTGCTAAATACACTGTAAATATTCTTGTCTCTTTGGTCACGTATCACACTCCACCGAGATTGTACGTATGTGTTTGGCTTGTCAACACTTTGACTTCAACAGCGCCGATTGGTTCTCCGATAATCTGCACGTGAGCTCCGGCTGATATTTGGGAACAATGGGAAAGGAATTTAACCACTCGTTTCAGCAGACGTTAGTAGGGCAGGAACGCGTGACGAACCCCTAAGAACGTCTGCGTGGGAGGCTACATCACTAAAGGCAGTCCTATACACATTCCATTAAAGTAGTCTGAGTCAGCGAAGCCTATAAAAGTAGTCTTAAACAGGATTCAGGAACCCTTGGTCTTGCGATCTCTTTGACCTCTTAACAAAGGTCACCTGATGTTTATGTTACTAAATGTTTAATTTATGTCTGTGCGGACCTTGCAGCCTAACACAAACCTGCAGCTGAGCTACGCTGCACTGCCACGTTGACCCTAGTTTTCTTTGTTCCAATAATGTTAGTAGCTACACAGTCGTATAAACCGTTGTCAGCAGGAATCAAGTTGTTAATGGTAAGTGTGCCTTGGTTTATTTTCGTTTTTCCAGGTAAAGGCATTGCTGCTCTAGTCCAGGTTACTACGGGACGAGGATAGCCTTCAGCTTGACAGGTTACTTGGAATGTGGTGCCTTGTACCGGTGCAGCAAGTAAAGGTGGAACTTTTGTGAATATTGGAAGACCTGAAAAAATAATTAATATCAGGTTGAAATACTACAACTAATTGGACGACACCGGGGAGGAGAAGGGGGGGAGTACTCTTCAAAGTGTTATACTGGGAGGCTCCGCCCCGAGGTCCAACACTATATGTAATTTTCAACAGAAAAGTTTGCCCCTTTCAAATACGAGATTGGGAGATCAACGCACTGTCTTTAAAATATGAATAAATCACAAAGGCAGAAAAATTTCTCGACTTTTTCACAGCCATAAAATCCTTCCGCTAGCCCTTTTAGATCTTCTTACAGACCGAAATGACAGAGTTCTCTACACTATTATGTACTTCAATTAGTAAAACACCAACCCTTCCATATACCTGAAGCTTCAAAATGGTACCCCTTTCGGAAAGAGCCTCCATACCAAGGACATTAGAAGAAGTACCCTCTGGGGAACGGCAGGATTACAACTTCGAAAAATGACAAATTAGGTGTTTCCTTTACCGGGAAACTTTGCACAAGAAATGCTCGTCTGCATAACAGAAAAAAAAGGAGGGATGAAACCAATTAGTTATTGGCTGGCAAATCTGTTAAAGGGTTTTTATAAGAAGTCGTAGTCTGACGGCTACTAAAGCGTTAACCGCATTCGGAAAGCGTGTCAAAATAAAGGTCAGGTGAGGATGATGTTCTGTCAGTGTGCCTTCACATCGTATAGTTTTCTTGAGATGTTTATGCGCTGTTCAATTCTCGCAACCTTATTACCTTGCAAGAACATGTAACATATCATACTGATACAACAAACAAAACTTGACGGCCTGTTATACAACAAACCTCAAGAATGAAATGCTTGTCTCACCTCGAACAGACAAGTTACCAGTGGCCTCGGACGATCCAAGAATGTTCCAGGCAGCACATATGTACGTCCCAGCATCACTGTAATTCAGATTTCTGACAATGAACCCTCCTTCTTTAATCAAATACTTTGCACCTGACAGAAGCTTTATGCCCTTAAATTGCCATACCACGACTGGGGAAGGATTTCCCGCGACAGTGCAATACAATGGCGTATTTCCTCCCTCATCTCGTGTCTGCTCTGCTGGCGTCAGCATCACTTGTGGAGCAGATATCGATTTTCCAGGCCTTCCAGGCGGTCCCGGCATGCCTTTTGGCCCAGGTTCTCCTTTATCTCCCTTTTCTCCTCTCGGTCCAGCAGGACCAGTTATTCTTGTTTTTCCGGATTTTCCAGGAGGTCCCATGGGACCCTGAAGACCTTTCTTTCCTTTTGGTCCTCTCCTGCCACGTGGTCCCCTCGCTCCAGTGGGACCAGGATATCCGGGGGGACCTGCAGGACATACCTTCTCACTTGACTTACAGTACTTGGTGGGCATAAGTTGTTCAAACTGTTTGCTGATTTCTTTTCTCACTTCATGTATGGTGATGCCAGTTAAAGTGTCCTTGAAAACGTTTCTTCGCATTCTTACTCGGATGGTTGCTGATGCGTTTATTGGCAACGGGCTGACTGCAGTAAAGTAAAATTAGATAATACCTGTTAACTACCCATTGATAAATTGTAAAAATTAGCAAGATCGAAAAGGAGCGAAAGAATGATACGGCTGACATTTCTGATAAAGGTAACTTACAAAAGAACAAGAATCGAATCTTAAGACCTGCGTACGAATTTCAAGCCAACTGAGATCTTGTATACACCTACTTTCAATCGCTCTTTTAATCCCATAAGGATTAATTGTCAAGAGTTGGGTCATTATTGTTTGAAATTGGTCACGCAATACCTTTCAATTCCGAGACCCAAATAACCTCAAACCTGAAGCACATGTAGCCCTCACTTAAAGAAATGTTTAAGGAACCTTATCTAATGTCGTCTAGCTAAAAATCCTAAAAAGACAATCTTGTTAAAAAGCTGTATAGTAATGATATCGACTATCTGGTGCGTGAAGGAATCTTGCTCTGCCCTTGTAAACACATTATTTATAAATTCAACTTCATTTACGCTGTAGATCTCTTCAGTTTTTTATCAGTGGCAGTGGCTTAATTACTGACATCTAGGGAGCATTACAAAACAGTCTCATACAGTCTAAGTTAAAATCTGATACTATTTTGGAATTGCAAAAGATCCCGTGTTGTTAACGCGAACTCACGTCATGAAAGGTTGTGTCTTAACCGAGGGAGAATAAAAGCTGGTGTAACCATCCTCAATGTACTTAAGGCCATCCAAGTAAGAAGAGTAAGAATAAATTTTACCTGAGGTATAGCCGTTCCCATCATCTGAAACTTGTGTCTGCACCTTCTTGGAAAGGTCTATTGCGATATCTTTTGTCGGCGGAAAAGTCAACCTGTCAAGATTATCAATCGTACCACGCTTAGTGCAAGGAACACAGTAAATACGAGATTCCAGTGAAATCAGTCGTTCGTTTGTTGCTTCATTTTTCACCCAGAGACATCCGCAAACTAAAACTAATACCACCGAAAGGAACGATGGTCTAATTGACGGAACAAACTCAAGGACTCGTTGAGATTTTTAAGGGTTTACGGTTTTCATTTTTGTAGTTTTACGATCGTTTTCTTTCACAGCCACTTGAAGACGGACGTTTGAGGGAAAGTTTCAAGTTTAACCTGATCCGCTTCTGATTTAGCCCAGAAAAAGAAAAGTGTTAGCTTACATTAGATTGACGTAAGCTGGGCTATTCTGCCGGAGGTCACTTTTCTCTTGTTGCACTCAAAAGTGGTCAAAGTTGCAACAATTTCACTATTCTAAAATATTGCACAAACCAAACATCACGTTTACAGGAAAGGTCAAAGGTTGACCACGTGACCATTGGCTTTATTTATCATTCTTGATAACGCGGAGAGAATAAAGTTCCTCTTTTAGTAACAAACATTCGAGTATGAGTAATTTTATATAATTTAATTCTTGTTTTCTGTCACAGTCTCTCCACGTTTGAGGGAAAGATGGAAGTTAAACCTGATCCCTTCTCATTAAGCCTATTAAAACGAGTGTATTGGTTAAAATTAGCTTACATTAGATTGACGTAAGCCGGGCTGCTCTGCCGGTTGTTCCTCCTGCTGCACTCAAATGCGTTCAAAGTTCCAACAGATACCATATTTTAAATTATTGCTTAAATCAAACATGACGTTTACAGGAAAGGAGAAAAGGTTGACCACGTGACCATTAACAGACATTATTGATAACGTTGTGAGAATGAAGCTCTCTTTTTATATCAAAACTAAATAATTTTATTGAATTTTAATTCTTGTCTGTAAAAACAATTAATACTAGCCCGTGAAAGTGATCTTTTATCTATTTACTATCAGTGTACATTTCTTATGAGTGTATATTACATTAATATTTTATATACTAGAACAGTCATAATGGCTACTGATGTGCCTCAGATATTATACGTAGGGCTTACGTGAATTAGTAACCCAACGCTCTTAAATTTAATTACTACACTGCCAGAAGGCGATCGGGATTGTCACGTGACTGCAAGCAGTCTATACCTGTATATGAGATAATTAGAGATAGTAATTTTAATCTTTGATTACTAATATCTATATAGTGGTATCCGGCATTATTCACGCGGACAGAGTAAAACCAAACTTTGATCAGTGTTATCTCTTAAGACTCTTAAGTTTCCTTATGGATTGCTATAATACTTATGAAGGCCAAGCCACAGTTACAAACCGCCAGTGAAGACAGCCTGGTTCAGTAAAATATCACTGTACTGCTTTTTTTTTCAACTTTGTTTACTCGGAAGCTGAGATTTCTTTGCTCTCATGATAAGGATGTAACTGTTTTCTGACAGATGACAGTATAGCTGTTCCCAGCTAGACTCGTACCGAGGTGAAAAAAGATTAGGGTTGGGTTAAGGCCTACGCGGTGCTGTGAACAGCTTGGGAGATACTTTATAACACGCTTTTATCAGCCATTTATAATCAGAGCAGTTGGGCCAGTTATAGATATCAAAATCATTTCTCTTTTTGACAATTCTATTTTTCGTTTGTTTGAAAAATGTTGCAGTATACGTTATAATGATTGTGTTTTGATTTAGATATAAGGAGCTTGCTTAGTGCTGTAGATTTGTTCACCTCTAAGCGTCTACTTGTACAATAAGCTCAGCTCAAATATCAAAGCCGGTGTCACGCATTATATTAATTAGGTTGTTTCGTAAAAGGTTTCAACTTCGTCTGGTGTGAACTGGTATGTTCCTGCCAGGAATGTTCGTGCGAAGGTGCTGCGGTAGCTGTATCCGCTTGGTGGGCTGTAAGTGTGGCCAAGGTTGTTATAATTGCTATTAGATGACGCGTTATTGTTGACGTAAATGTCATGTCCTCCTCCGAATGTAGGCCCATAGGATGAGTAAAAGTATGTGGAACATTTGCCAGAACTATATTGCCCTGACTGAGACAATTTGACAGGCGCCCATCCTGGCTTGTTTACCAGCGAAAATAAGAAGGCTTTTGAGTCGTATTGACACCAGCTAGAACTAGAAGCTAAAAGAAATGAAACAAAACTTTTCTAAGATAAGTTAGCGACATTGTCCTTATGCCTGTCATAATGATGACGATGATTATTATTATTACTAATTAAAAATAGTAAATACCTTATTCTCATAAAACAAATTCGATAGAGTTTCTCAGCAACGTTCGTCATTTATCAAAAACGAAATCAGTTTCTATATCTTCTTTATTACTATCATTATCATTATCAACATTATTATTATGATTATTATTATTATATTATTATTATTATCATTATTATTATTATCATCATCATCATCATTATTATTAGTATGCATACTATATTATTGCATTATTATTTACGTGCAGGTATTTTGGTAAAAGATACAGCTATACTCATGGCAAGCGTGATTCGTCCGCTCAGGAGAGAGTTTTATGTGGGTGCAAGCTTACCGAAGCTGAGGTGTCGGCCTGTGGGAGATGTTAATTTTAAAAGATTTGCAATTACAAGCAACAGATCGGGGGAAAAATTAGTAATTAATAATATATGTTCTCTTATAACTTTATGGAGCAAATCTCCAAATTTATCTGTGTTTGTCTTTTTTGTCACTTGCCGAAGCTAGATGCTTCTTTTCTACATGAACTGGTGCATGTCGCAATACACTTTTATTGGTAAATTAATACTTCGTTCGTTTTTAAGGGTACTGTATTAAGAAGACAATAAAGTAAACAGACAATAAAGAGTTTTAGGAGCCTTTATCCTTGAAAAGGTATAAAACAATATGTATTCTGTCACCCATTTCAGTCTATTAAGTTCGTTCGAATCCGAAGAGAAGAATCCTCTTCGCGACATTTCGCTAAGGCTAAATTACGAAAGTTTGATCGGTTAAATGAACCTTCGTCTGTATCACTTACGTGGACATGTCAAAAGAGCGTGTTTTTTCTTTGGCAAAATTTACTAACGAATTTCACCAAAAACCTGTGGTGAAGTTCGTTAGTCGCTACTTTTGCAATACGGGAACTGAGGGATGGAAGATAGCAGGGTGGCAAGAAAGACAGAACAATATTCATATTTTATAACCTCAAAATGAAATGCATCACTTATCATCTGCAAAACCAGAACTTGAGAAGAAGGGTGGGGGGTGGCGCTCATTCACACCATGTGATTGTAGGAGGGGGGGTCCTCAATTAGAACCTCAAAATTATTATTATTATAGTATTAGCCTGGAATTTGGGCACGTTTTGACAAGCTAGAAATGCATCACTTACCGTCTGCAGAACCAGAACTCTATAAAAGGGGTGGGGCGTTCATTCACACCATGTGAGTGTAGGAGGGGCGGTCCTCGCCCCTTGAGGAACGAGGGGATATGGGCCCACATCTAGAGCTAATAACCTAGAACCTTTGTTGGCCACTACGTAGCCATGTATGAAAGGTATAGTTACATGACTCCATATTGCTAAGTACCAAGCTCCACTTTTAGCTGAACATATCAATGCCAACTGATTACGCCAAAGCTATAAATGCCACTGCCATGGCTTACAATGCTTGCTTACCCCATGAAATACTTGTGTATCCTCCGAAAATATATCTCCCGACCCTTATTATTGTCACAGTCGGACCCTTGCTGTCACATCGTGAGTGAAATGTACTTGCAGCCCAGCCGTCCACGGATGCATGCCAACAGCGCTTCCAGAGAGAATTCACGCTTTTTGCCACAGGTGCTAGCCAGTTTCTTAACAAGGTCAAGTGATTTCTGTTGTTTCCCACAATGACTGAGCTTTCAAAATCTACGTATTAAAAGTCAAAGTCCATAAAATGACAAGGTAAAAAGTTTTTAAAATGTTAAAACAACTGAATCTATTGAGAAAAAGAGTAGCATTGCAAGTGACCAAAGAAAGCATTTATGCATGCATGTACGTGATTTGCGCGATATTAAGGAAGGTTAAACATTTAAGATCATTGAAACTCTTAATAGTGAACACGCATAATTGTCTTAAGTCGCAAATTTCTGTAAGCGCAACATACAGTCGCAATGATAGTAGCTCTCTTCTGGCTTTAGCAGTGATTAGATGGCTTTTGAATGCCTGAAAAGTAAACAAACAAACAAAGAAACAACAAAAACAAAAATTTAAAAAAAAGCAGTATTCGAATAGATCACCCTGCGATATATTTCGGTATAGCCGTATAGTTCTCGAGGTGACAAAGTTAGACTTTCGAAAAACTGTCCTTCCTAATGAACACTCTTATCTGGTGTTTAACCAAGATCGCAAGCTGGATAAGAAGATTTGCACTACTAAAATGAACGTTTAATCTAAGGGTACCTGACTCTTGCTTTGGGCATTGTATAATTGCGCACTGGGAAGCTTTTGTTTGGTGGACGCTCAAGCAATTCATTGCAGTGAGTTCCGTACGCCCAAATGCCCAGTGCCCAATTACCAAAGCAACCTTTTATTGTATCAGCTATATACAGAGTGAGACGGTGCCTTGAATACAAACCTGAACGCACTTGTACTGCTAGGTTGATTCTTTTCTTCTTTGTTCCCATAATGTTTGTAGCTACGCAGTCGTAAAAACCGTTGTCAGCAGGACTCAAGTTGTTAATGGTAAGTGTGCCTTGGTTTATGGTAGTCTTTCCAGCAGGTAAAGGCATTGCTGCTCTAGTCCAGGTTACCGCGGGGAGAGGATATCCGTCAGCTTGACATGATACTTGAAACGTAGTGCCTTGAACTGGTGTGGCAAGTGAAGGTGGAACTTTTGTGAAGACTGGAGGACCTGAAATAGAGCCAATCCATGATCAACCAGCATGCATAGAATATAATGTGGTAGGCGTTTTGAGAGGCCAGCGGCACATATCCAGAAAAAATTAACTCAAGTAACCTCCCCGGGTGGTCTAAGCTAAAAAGGGAGAAGGAGAAGGATGGTGCTGTGTGCCCTCGCGTTCATGTAAGGTCCAAATATTGCCGTCATGTGTCATTATCTTTAACATTATTTAATGTCTTTATGTTTGTATGGCCTAGATTAAAAGTTGAACTACACTCGTGACTACTAGCCTAATACCAATGAGCAAAATCTATAGTCCTTGATCATCAGCTTAAGGTATGAGTGAGTAAATTTTAAGTTTGGCGTTATACACTGCTGAAAAAATGAAGGAAGAGATAAAAGTACATGATTAAACAAAGGTGCAATTTTTTATTCAAACCTCGTATTCTCGCATTCTCTGAGCACAAACGCCGCCCGAGAAGCCTACAAAATCAAGCAGCCAGATATAACAAAACTCTAAGTTAAATGCTCCTCTTACCTCGAACAGTCAAGTTGCCAGAAGCGTCAGACGATCCAAGAATGTTCCTGGCAGCACATGTGTACGGTCCAGCATCGCTGTAATTCAGATTTCTAACGATCAACTCTCCTTCTTTAATCAGATACTTTGCACCTGACAGAAGCTTTCTGCCCTTAAATTGCCATTCCACGACTGGGGAAGGGTTTCCTACAACCGTGCAATAAAATGCCGTATTTCCTCCCTCATCTCGTGTCTGCTCTGCTGGTGACAAGATCACTTGTGGAGCAGATATCGATTTTCCAGGCCTTCCAGGTGGTCCTGGCATGCCTTTTGGCCCAGGCTCTCCATTGCTCCCCTTTTCTCCTCTCGGGCCTGCAGGACCAGTTATTCCTGTTTTTCCGGATTTTCCAGGGGGTCCCATGGGACCTTGAGGACCTTTAATTCCCTTTGGTCCCCTCCTGCCACGTGGTCCCCTGGCTCCAATGGGACCAGGATATCCGGGGGGACCTGTGGGACATACCTTCTCACTTGACTTACAGTACTTGGTGGGCATAAGCTGTTCAAACTGTTTGCTGATTTCTTTTCTCACTTCATGTATGGTGACACTAGTTGAAGAGTCATTTAAAACATGTCTTCGCCTTCTTAGCCGGATGGTTGCTGATGCCTTTTTCGGCAACGGGCTGGCTGCAGGTAAGTAAAGTTAAGAAATTTTTAAATATCCATACTAATCAATATTTAAAATAAATAAGGGAGAAAACAAATGAATTAACGAATAAGGGATAAGGTTGGCATTTCTAACACAAAATTAAGCTTTTCAGAGATTGCGTTCAACAACAAGGTTAACTCATTGGAACCAGTAACTTTTTAATTTGTCCTCAATCTTCTCCACCCCGAGGTCCAACCCCTTTCCCCTTTTAACAATTTGATTCACACAGTGCTGAAAAACATTCTTTTCCTTCAAAAATAAGCTCTTAAAACAAGCAGATAAACGGGAAAAAAATGCTATGCACTATTGCCTTTTGTCACGCCATCCGTGCTCAACCTTAAACAAGATCTTATGGAAAACTGTCATGCACGTTCTGGAAGCACACCCTTAACGCTCAGGGAGCTTCCTCTACCATTCTATATAGTCTACAATATAAGCGATAATTTTTTGTTCCTCAAACCTTTATGGACGTATCTTGTACGTTAGCGAGTCGTTCGGCACTTAAACAAGCCCTTATGAAAAATTATCTTGCACATTCTGGAAGCACACCCTAAATGCTTAGGGAGCTTCCCCTACCATTCTATATGGTCTACAATAATAAGCGGTAATTGTTTGTTCTATGAAGCTTTATGGCCGTATCTTGTACGTTAGCGAGTCGTTCGGCACTTAAAGCCATGAATTCAATATCATTTACACAGTAAATTTCTTTACTGGTTTACAGTACAGGTGGCTTAATGAATATCTAAGCAGTGTTACAAAAGAGTGAGTGTATTAAAAAAGGGTTTGAAGTTAAAATTCAATTCTGTCATGAAATATCCAAAGATCCCGTATGCAAGCACAAACTTGCACTATGAAAGATTATATGCCTGAATCAAAAGAGGATAAACTCAGCTCTAAACATCTATCTGCATCTAAATAACATCTAAAGTGAAGATTTTACCTGGTGTATAACCGATCCTTTCGGATACATGTGACTGAACCTTCTTATAAAGATCTCTTGCTGTAGCTTCTGTTGGTGAAAGAGATATCCTGTCAGGATTTTCAGTCGCGACACTCTGAACGCAGGGGAAACGGTTAACGCGAGATTCCAGCGCTATTAGTCGTTCGTTTGTTGTTTCATTCTTCACCCAGAGACATCCGCAGACAAAAACTAATACAACAGAAAGGAACGATGGTCTAAGCGACGGAACAAAATCAAGGAGCCGACGAGATTCTGAGGAGTTCGAGGATTTCATTTCTGCAGCTTGCCAAAGACGGAGGTAAGTGGGAAACTTGCCAATAAAACTTGATCCTTAAAAAACATATCATCACGATTGACGTTAAAACAAGGCTTTATAAGCAGTGTCATAAGGGTCGGCACGGACAGTTATAAAAAAATTACCTTAAGGGGGAGGGGGAAGGTGAAGTACGAAAAGGAGAAAATATCCGGGTAAGGGAAACCGCCCTAAATGAAAGAAATTCATGCACGCCAAGTAACGCCAAAAAATATTCATGCACTAGCCTAAAAAAATCATACAAAGGAAATGCTAACGCGAATTCATGCGAGTTTTCTATAATTATAGTCTGTCCCTAATTGACCTTTTTCGTTTTTGCATTTTCGTGTTCCAGTAAAACGTGGTCAATACCGAGTGA